CTTCAGGTGCACGCACAATAGATTTGGAGGTGCGAAACTCACGTTTAAACAGAATCTCTTCGTTAGGTACAACTGTAACTACATGGTTTCCTGCGGAGAGGGGAAAAGAATTCTCCCGCGGTTAGGATTGCCTGTCGTAAGAGGCGACTAAAATCCCCCAGTGCTAGTCTGGCACTAATGTAGAAAGTGCAAATGGTAGTGAGTTGTGGGCGGCAACTTGCGACATCTGACCAGAGATGATGCTATCTGGTACTTCGGGGGTCAGTGGCCCGACAGCTTCGGCTGTACTGACCATTGGTGTTGGCTTCGAAGTGGTTGTGATTAATACCCACACATACGCGGGAAGATTGTTTTGCTTGTCATTCATTCGCCGTGATGTGCGTTTCAAACCGGGTGCTGCAGCCCAAATTGTAGCAGAGATAGTAGGTGGGCCTCGCATCTTACCAAGGTGGAAGTTATGACTTGCATGATTTTTTTCATTGGTACCGGCGGAATAAGGAGTGATATTCCAATGGGGCGTTGATTGACGCTTAAATTAGGACGTGTGTTAAGAGCACCGTTGAGCCATCCTGGCAGGAAATCACGTAAAACATATAGAGACATCTGTAACCACATGGCTACAGTTCCAATGTTCCTTTGGGAACTCAATGGAATGAAGAAAAAGTATTTAAAGTAAATTATTTCAATAAAAATGATAAAAATAATATATTTTTATTTATAATTTTAAGTTTGTGTTTCGACATAGAAAGAAACTTATTTAAATGTTTTTTTTTTTGTTTGTTTAACTCTTTAACTATTTTTTAGCTCCTCTAAATTACGGATTGCGTTTAAAGTTATTAAAAGTCTATTCATGATTAATCATCACTTAATTATTTAGCGATTTTTTTTTTGCCCCAAACTGTTTATTTATTGAAGACAGTCTTCATGTACTTTAAAACACTTTTACTTTTTCAACCATTTATTTTGATTATTCTTTAGTTTCCAGAGTGAGGTAGTGGATGCACATTCATCAACAGTCTCAAAAATATTCAAGTAATTCCATTTCTGATCAATGTTCCCAAAATACAGATTAAACGTTCATGCCTAAATCAATGTTCAATTATCTAAGATACAATCTTAAACAAAAACTTGTGTCATAACAAAGGCTTTTTATTGTAATAATTTTAATTTGAGTTGTGTTAAATTCAGTGTAAATGCATAATAAATAAGTATTTATAGCATTGAGTTAAGTAAAAAAAGCAATAGTGTCTTTATTTTCTATAGACAACAGTGTTCAAATTAAGAAAAACAGTAATTCTTAGTTAAGTATAGCTGTGGTTTATGCGTTTATTTCTAATTATAGCACAGTAGCTTCTAATTTGAACAAAGCGACTTAAGTGTGACATTGTGACGTTAGTGTGGTTGCTTAAGTCTATGTTTCAGTTTGAACAGTGTTCAATATATAGGGCTCGCAATTGCAAAATTGCAAAAAATACAAACTATTAAACCAATAGATTTTTCCAAACAAAACATTTGTTGATGGGTATTTTCCAATATCTGAAGGACTTGTATGGTCATATGATTTTATTTCTAAATTTAAAATTTGATTTTTAAAATTAAAAGAGGATAATTAATAGTGCTTTATCTATTTACTGATCAAAATGACTTTCTTGCTATAAAAATAAAAATTTTAATATTAAATATAAAGCAAATTTCGATTATTATAATAAATCGAAATAAGCAGTTTAAGAACTTATTTACAAAAAGAAACTTATAATAAACCATTTTATGCAACTGAAATTTGTTATATGAATATGACTGTATATTATGCTATTGTATATAGGTTTTATTTTTATTTTTTAAATTTGTATGCAGGTGTCCGTCCATAATAATCAATACATAAGTTTTAAAAAAACTTTAAACTACGCAATAGCAATTCCAAGAATTAAAAATTGCCAACGAGTCGCAATTTCACCAACTATTATTAATTTTAGCACACCTCCCACGACTGTAGGCGTTTTCGTATGTGTCGCAGCCTTACTGACAATAGGTTTAATTTATTAAATTGCAGATATAAGTTGAAGTGGGCCGAAATGCTGACTACATGTGCAAGGCCCTAGTATCATGCGCCCTCCTTTTCTTCTACTTGTCATTATCTGGTACGCTTTCTAATTTTTTTTAATTCTTTCAATTATTTATTAATTCATTCATTCCTTATGTACATGTTTGGCTTTGGAGTCGCCGGTACCGCCTGCATTTTAAATGTCATATATCAGCAAACATCGTCAGGCGTGCTCCGTGCGGCAGTTTCCACGCTGCCACCGGCCCACGACCCACCCGCCCACCAGCACGGACACTGACTGGCTGCGTTTAATAGCCTTTATGTTTATTTTCGCTATTATTTTGCATGCATGCGTTTTTTATGCACTTCAACATTTTTGCTCTATAATTTCTCAGTTTAGCCTTTTTGCCATTCTGTTCCCGTTTTTTGCAGGGCATTTCATTTAAAACGGCAACTTAAATTGCAGACGCGCCATTAAGTTGTCAACATTTTCACTTAACCTGCAATTTCAGCGCAAACCCAGAACGAATGGCTCCGGCTGCGCTTATGTTGGAAAAGGACGAGCGCGAGTGCCATGCAACATGTCGACTTGACATACGTAATTCAGCATTCTTCTCCCCCAATCCAATCTCTAGGCTGTCTTGCGAGTTGCATAAACATTAAAACCATTTCGAGTGCATTAAGTTTTTCCGCGTTTCGCGTCGCTCTTCTCACGTTTCCATTATCATGACACATTTTCATTTATTTATTGCAACTGCTTGGCCTTGAACCACGTCAAAATAGCGTTGAAAAAATTGGTCCTGATTTGTTCAAAATTTTTGTTCCTTTTAGTAAAGTAATTTGGATTTTAAAATTTATTTCAGCAGCACTTCAAAGTATTTATATGCTTACACATTTCCACAATGCAACCAAAGTCGAAACCACAGAGAGTTTCTCTTATAAGAACCCATATCTGTACCATCAACCTACATGCGAATTATCGATATCGATATGTATTCGAATTGATTGTGATTGAAAAAAATGAATAATAAAGTTTATCTAATATAAGATAAACCTACATGTGATAATATAGTATACGGAAGGCTCACTGACTGATGAAAAAGACGCTGCAAGAATCTTTGGGTCTGGAACAAGACCCGAAAATCCTCTGCAATCCTCGGAATTTCTAAAACAAAAGCATTATCATATTTCCTATGCAAATAGACACAATTGATATATGTGCTTATTTTAATCCTAAACAGAATACCAAAATCAAAGGACGGTCATCTTGACTGATAATCGAGCAGAAGAACGTTTAAATCTTCTCATCAAGTATGGAGTCAATAAGTTCCGAGACATGTTCATTTGATGGTAAGATAAAGAAAAAAAACTTAAAGCAACATTCTTGCTAGTACGCCGAAAGAAAAAGAGAATAAAGAAGACTACCTGCTTTATGAAATTCCAGATCGGTTAGGTGGACCTATAAGCTAAGTCAATATAAGGATTGTTGAGATTTGATAAGAAGAACAACTTAAGAATTACAACTTAAATTCAATGTGATTAAGTAAGCAAAATAAAAATTGCCTGGAATGAAGTTTTATAGTTTCTGCAAAGAAGAAGAGGGACTAAAGCCTCCCCTTAAAGCATCCTGAGGTAGTTCTCTACACTGATGCGTAAACAAAAAACTCTCAAGAATGAATATATTTCAACCGACGATGACAAACTCCGAAAAAACAACAAATACTACCACTTTTATGGAAGTGGAATATAAAATATTAGTTTTAGCCCATAAAGGGAGTTTAATTACATTTCATGGTGTTGATTTCTCTCTTATTTAATAATATTAAAATAATAATATTGGCACTTATAAAGCCAAGCTTTTGCTGTCACGGTCTTCTTTCCCAACAGAAAACAATAATAAATCAAGATACGAAATTGCTTTGAATCCAATATCAAAGAATGGTCAGGAAATAAAAAAAATTAGCTCCAATAACACAGCTCTAACTAAAGGGGTAATCGTTTAAATTGCATGACAGGTTCAAATTTCGACGGGTATTATTCGTAAGTTGTCACTTTTTAAAATTTGAATGGATGTTTCATTAGCGGCGTTGCCTTGCCAGTGTGTCAACCTGCGAAAATTTCGTAGGACGGTTAATTAGCTAAAGCCAATAAAGCCGATGTGTTAATCATGAAATCCACTTACTACTCTGTCTCCATCCTTTGTGATTAATTTAATCAAATGGTATTTCTGATCACATCAATTGCAGTTCTTGCTGTATCCTTTCCTTCTCACCCCATCTTCGGTTACTGATGGAAAAATGAGTTTATTAAATTTATTCAAATCAGCCAAATCGCGTCAGTCCCTTTATAATCCTGCGTGTTTGCGCTGCTTAGTTTGGCTTTCGTCCCAAAAATGAAAAATATTTTTAAATGATAAATATTTTGGTTGGTTCTTGTACATTTAATTGCTGTGCTCTCGAAATGTCAGAAGTGAGTTTGGAAGTAGCTGCAGCCTTCAGCCTTCAGCCTGCCAAAAAAGTTGCCTTAGACAACGGCTGCCATTGTTTTTGTTATAAAATACACTGAACAAATCAAATGTTAGTCAAGTTCAGTAGTTGCAGAATGTATTTTTTAACGAAGGGAACTGAAGGGAACTGAAGGGAAAAAAATGTCTTTGCTTTTTTTACTGATTTTATGTTAATTTACGACGTTAACCTCGTAAAGCAAACAAAATGAGCTGTCAATTTGTGTACGTGACCAGGAAAACATTGCATGTTTGCACTTACGGAATTCGACAGTGAATATGCTTGGTTACGGATGCACCAGCTTTCCTTGTCGAAAAGGATTTTCCTTTTCTTAGTTGCTAGTCATAAAATTCTGGTACAAGGATTACTGTCCTTGTGTACTTTCTTCATAGATTTACTGTGACAAAATTTTTAATTTTTTATTTTATTTTCATTTCTTTTTTTTCTATTTTCAGCATTTTTTGTACGCATAATTTTAGTAAGTAAGACAAATAAAAAAGGCAGCAGCAACAAGAAACACAACAACACCTAACTAATATTTGAAGCAGCAACACCGACAACAACGTCAGCAGCAACAGCAACAACAACAACAACTGGAAGCTCGTGACCAAAATTTTAATAGAAAAATAATTTGAAAAAATATATATACAAAATGAGTAGAGTCACAGCAATCTGTTTTTCACTACAACGGATATTGATACCCGCAGTGCTGGTCATAGGTGAGTTGAGTTACTACTTCTACCCCTTAAATAAAACAAACCACATTTTTGTTTAATTCTGTTTAATTTATTCAAATAAGTTTTAAATTTGCTCAAACTTTAATTGTTTCAAAGCATATTTACACTGTGATTTCGCAAACGTGTCATGTGCTTGAAAAATAATTGTTGCATGCTTTTAGGCAATTAGCCTATTGCCTGCCTAACTAGCAGCATCAAAATCCATTTTATCACGTACGGAGTATAACGCGTGTGCTTGGTCCTCCTTAAGAAGAGAGAAGAGCTTAAATCACGCGCCTGTTAGCAAAATTAGTAAAATCACCACAACTTGAAATGTTCACATAACGTTAGCATAATTAATTACTTAACCCAGTAATTGGAAAGCCAGTGGTTTAATAATTATAATTCTCTAATTATACCGAAATCAGTGCTGGATGTGAGTCTTGGGGTTGGTTTTATGTTGAGACAATAACCATGCATAAATGATGTCACTGTAGTAGAAACTTAAACAGATGAAGTAATGCAAGGCATTCAAAAATTAAATATTTTGTGTATCAGCCTTAGGGTCAAATGAATTGATGGCGTTTACATCATTTTAATAGAGTTATATATATAGTTCAATGGCAAATAAGGAATATGTTCTAAAGTTTCATTTATGTAAAGTTAAAAAAGAGCCAATTAAGATTAAAAAGTGTAAAAATTTTATATTGTGTGGCATGTAAATCTGGTCGGCGATTATACGAGTAAACTCTGTCGTTCTTCATCTAAATTAAGTCATTTTGTAAGCAAGTAATTGCATTCATTTTCACACACTTTAATTTCCTTCTTTATTCTTTCACTGTCTCTTTCTTTTCTTTTATCTTCTTTCTTTATTCTTTTACTGTCTCTTTCTTTTCTCCATATTTCTTTGTAGAGTCAACTTTTTTTAATGTAAGGCGCAAAGATTTTTTTATCCTGTGTCCCTCAATATCGTAACCATTCAGGTTATTATTTTATTATTAAATTTTTGAAGTATAATCGCTCAACAGCCGGTACTACAGCCAGAAGAGTCCTATTGTATCAATTTCAATATTAATTACACAAAGCCCTTTAAAGCTTTCTGAACAAAATCCAGAACTAAATCTAGAGAAGAGCTCTTAATCTGTTCTGGAAACAGAAATTCCAAATGAAACAAGTTTTTTCCTTTTTCTTCTTTTTTTCAAGGCATAATCTGTATTCAGGTTACTTGCGGTCATCTTCTGTTCCCTAACAGCTTTGTCAACATCAGAAATACCTAGTCGCTAAAATACTGAATATGGTTTTAGAGGATCATCTAATAATGCAATACAAATATAATCGAGTGCGACCTCATCGGTAAAAACATTTGTAGCATTTTATAAAATAATAAAATGGATTTTATTTACGATTGTATTGTAGGCTTTGAAGATGGAAATCACTGTTAGAGAGGTGCATCGAAATGAAAAAGTGAAGTTTTAGAGCACATGCTGTAAGGAAGTAGAAACAAACAATTTTGAGGGCCTTTTATTGAAAAGGTTGTCAGATGTGACAGTTTACAAATCAGCTACACATTTATAATTATTCACACACTCCATAAGTCTAAACAAAGATCCGACAATAGTTATGGAACAATCCATAACATAGTTATCGTTATATAGTAAAACCAAAAATTCAAAATGACCGTACATAACATCCGATATTGACTTATTGATTGAACTGATACATTTCAGATAAGTAAGAAATGTAAAAAATTCTTAGAAACCAATTCGCAACTTTTTTTTTTTTGAATTTATTCTCTTTTATTGCGATCTATCAATTCAGAATAGACAATGAATAATATTAATTAAGAGTAAGTGAGCTTGAATGGACTGTCACAGATCACAGATTGGTCACAGATCAAAGCTTCAGTGGCATTTGTTTGCGGAGACGTTTGAACTTCTAACATTTTATTCAAACTAATTTTTTTTTATTCTAAGCTCTATTAGGAATTTAATAAATATATTATAATTTAATGAATTATTAAAAACTTTTTTAAATATTTTATTATTATCTCTTTTTTAGCTGCGCTTATACGTCCGGTCGGAATCTCCTATATTTATATGTTAATGTTTTTTATAGCGCCATTTGTTCCCATAGCCACACATAAAAAGCGGAGAAGACCTATTAATGCCAATTTATTTATACTATTAACAATATCTGTAATCATATTATTAACGCATCTGATATTACAATTATTAATAATATTTCACGATCTGAAAAATGATTTCGGTGCTTGTTCACTGACTGAACAAATATTTCGACATATTGGTTTTATAGATTTTCGAAATGTAGGGTAAGTAATATACAAATAAAACTTAAACTGTACTTAATTCTTTGACTTCTCTATAAGAACAACGACTTAGAATGTAAAACATAAAAATTTAATATATTTATAGAGTCCTAGCTATAATTGAGTGGTTATCACCGGAAGTACTTGTATTTTTAACATCCATTATTGTGTTTATTATTATCAAACAGTTAACTGCTAAAACCGATCATACTTTAGTAGAAAATGGAGATGTAGTACCCAGCGAAGGTAATCCAGAAGTTAGCAGCACAATCCAACAGGGATTAGGGAGAATAACTCAAATATGTAAGTTTTTATATAAATTTGTATCACTCTTCTTTTATTACTATGCTTTTTACTATTCTATAGTAGGTATACTATAGAATAGATATATTATAGAGTATACTACAGACTACAATTGATTGCTGATAATCAAGATTTATGTATCCTTTTTTGAAAAGTTTCGCAATTGGATCAATGAAAACTTGTTCATTATTTCTTATTGATCAATTAACCCATCATTACATAAATCATTTATTTAATAATTATGTAGATCTGAATTTTTAATAGATTTTTTTTATTAATGATATTTAAATTTCAATTGGATATTATATTAGTATTTTGATAAAATTTATAAATTAATATAAAATATTAATATATTTCAGCACCTGTTTTCTGTATGACCACATTATTTTTTTCTGCCATTTTACGCCCATCCGTACCGGGTGGTTTCTATTTTTTGATATTTCTGATATGTGGAACGTATTGGGCAACATATCGCTCACTATTATCGTAAGTCAATTAGAAAATAATATTTCGAATTATAATTTTAAATTTTTATCCATTCTGTAGGCGAGGTTTCGCGATGTTAATGCGGCTGATGCTTGTAGTGCTGGCACTGCACATACTGCTTTTTGTTGGCTATCAGACGCCATGGTTACAGCAGACAATACCACAAGATAGTTTACTAGCTAGATTATTGGGCTTGGAGCCTTTAATTATTTCAAGTTGTGAAAAGGATATACGCTTTATTATATATAACTTGGATTTGAATATTGTGTCCTTCATCAATCCTATCGTAATGTTCTTTTCATACTATGCAATAGCGTTGACTTCTAGGAATATACTTAAGAAGAATATGGTAAGCATTATTAATAAAAAAAATAAAAATACATAAATTATAGGGTAACACTCTATATAAAAGTGTAAAGAAAAGCTTAACTGGAGCACAATATCTATCTTTGTGAATATATAAATTTTTGTTTTACTAATCAAAGCAATAAAAGCAATAAAAGCTTTAAAAATGTATTTAAAGCCATTCTATCGCTATTATAGTGGATAATACTTTCTTAAAGGATTCTATGTAAACACATAAAATATATATCTATTGTACACTGTACAAAATTGTGACTTAAAATTCATAAACTAACACTGGAATTGTTGCTAACCTTACGTATATATTTTTTTCTTCTTTGTTTGTTTCTTTTGTTATATTTTTATCTATTTTTATCTATTTTCTTTACTGAATGCTGCTTAATGCTGCGCTAATAACAATAAAATATTTAAAAAAAATGAAAATTTAATAATTTATATAACTAAATGCAATAACTAATGTTAAAACAATTTGAACTGGCACGCATACCCATTGTTGACTTACATGCATACCCTACCCCCACACAACATACATCCAAACAAACACAAATACATTCTAAAAAATAATTGCTCATACGCCATGGTGCACCACACATTTCAACACAAAATCAATTCTCATTTGCTACTGTTGTGTTAATGAAGCTGCAGAATGTTGCAAAGGCCAGTGATGCAACAGATTTTGGACCTGTACAGCAACAGCAACAGCAACCGCAACAGCTGCAACGACTACAACAACCACACCCACTACAACTACAGCCACAACAACAGCTTCAACTCGAAAACGGTAGTAAAAAATTAACCCGTCAATTCTCATTGGTAACACAACCGTCGCGTGGTAGTAAAAAGGATAATTGGACTAAAACACAACGTTTAAGCGTAAGCGATTTTCCAAATTTTCACCTCTTTTGTTGTTTTTGCTTTTTCGATATAGAAAGGCACAAATACAAATTAGTTTTGAAGGAAGAAATTGCATTTTCTTGTATTTTTGTATTTTTGTAATTTTGAAATATTGATTTTGCAGAAAAATTTTATTTTTATTTTAAATTTAAATTTAAATTTTTTATTTTATAATTAAATGAACACACCACTTAAAGGTAATCAACTTAAACGCTCTCTTCCATACATACTCTTCAGTGAGAAATAATAGAAAACTTTCTAATAATATGTTAACTCTTCTGGCTTTTTGTTTTTCTTCTTTTATACAATAAAAACACAAATAAATATATATATCTAGAATATGAAATCGTTTAAGCAAGAGACACAAGGGACATCACTGAAAAGTGATTCAGTTGGTAAACCACATGTCCTCGTTGGCGTTTCTCAAACTTTTTCAATAATATTTTTTCCTTTACGTCGAATGTATGTCCCACTGACACGCAAAGAACGGTCTAGAGTCTAGACTTATTTGTTGCAAGTCAGAAAAGAGATTTGCATATGCCATGATCTTAGTTTAATATTATAAATAAATAAATATGTTATCTGTTTATTGCATACGTCAATAAAATGTTTACAAAATTGATCCTTTTTTAATTAAAAAAATATATATGAAATGCTTATATAGAGTGAAAATGATAAATTATAATAGAGTCATAATAAGTAAGAGTTGACATAAAAAATAAAAAAAAAAAACACTAATAGAATAACAATTGACATTAACGATAGATAGAAAACATGACCGACCATTGGCTCATATTAACACTGGAGTGTTACTCTAAAAAGTGAAAAAAGTTGAGAGCTGAAACAAGTTTTAAAACGCTAAGAAACGTTTTGGACCTGAGTTTGGTTAGGTTAATCTGGTTGACCTCATGCAATGCATACACGTGTCAATTCCTACCGATATCCGATAGATCTCTATGTAATCTCTATGTAGTAGATATTTTTTTCAAATTTAAAAAGTGATTGGAACCTTTTTATCTTAGTTAAAGCCACTAACAATATTTAAAGATTCTATTAAAGTACGTTCTTACATCAGACCTTTCAACGCAGACCCTATGCGAAGTAATTGTAGTAGTTTTAAATTTAAATAGTTCACATTTTCGTGTGAGCAGTATATTTCTATATTGGAAAAATATTATCTTATATAATGTAAAAATTTTAAAAGATTTTTTAAAGTCCTTTCTTATACCAGACCTTAATGGGATTTTAACACAGACCCTATGCGAAGTAATTATAGTAGTTTTAAATTAAATTAGCAGTATACATTCTATATTGAAAAAACATTGTCTTATTTAATGTAGAACTATAATTTATGCATATTGCAAACATACTTTCCAGACGTATATATATAATATGAACAGCAAATATAAAACTATGTCGGGTTGAAATAAAAAAAATTTTATTTCTAATAAAGCTGTCAATAATAAAGCTTCGCTACTACCAGATATCAAGTAATTCGGATTTTCCTGTCATCCAAACAATGTATGGTTTGAATCAACTATTGATTCCCTTATACAGGAATAGAACAGAAATACTATAGCATGTCTGTTCGATGTCCAGTGAAATATTATGTATTACATATGTACATAATATGCCTATACATAAACAGAACATATGGAATAAATCACAAGTCACGTAGTCACGGGCGGACGGGTAATAACTGTTTAATAAAATAATAACTATTTTTTAAATTACGTAAATAATCTGAAAGCCCGTTTCGAAGTAAACTTCTGTCTATGGTCCAGAACACTAGCTATTAGAAATGAAAATCAGAACATTTTAATTTGATCGTTTATATGGCCTCGGCTTCGTTTAATGAGTATTGGATTGTTTGTTTAGTTTTTATTGATTCCCTGTTTTAAAATATGTATATATGTACACATTAATGAGTGACAAAGGGTAACTAGGGATCACCGCAGAGTCCATCAAATCTGTGCTTGAAGTTATCAAGGATCAGCCAGAATATTCACTAAAATCGATGAAATTGGAGTTAAATTTCTTCGAAACTTATGGTTTGATTTAAGCAAGTTGACAAACGACTGGAAAATGATTAGAATTTAGTATGCAAAGGACAGTATCTTTTTTTTGATTTATATCATTTCTGTCATCAACAGATACTTGTGATAGATTTTTAACTAAAATCACATTTCAACTGTCAATCATTTCCAATATTCGCCTATTTCGGAACCATATGACTTTTTTCTTTTCCGAAACATGTGACGAAGAAACGCTGTTTAACAGCACTTCAGTGCATGATAACCTTGCTGATGCATATAATTGTTAGCAGATGCCCTCACTGCTAATACTTACTTACTCGTCTATTTGAAAGATGTTTTTTACGTACAGTTTAACAGGTGATATATTTATTATAGTTCATGATTGCTGATAATAATTCATTGATATGTTGTTGGCTTACTGAAAAGTTTAGATATAACATCTAATAAATATTATAAAAGTTATTTTGAGTAATGATGGTATTAAGAATAGTTATTTATGATATATATAAGCTATATAAATATAAATAATAATCTAATTAAATATATAGTCATGGTTTGGTTAAAAATTTGTGACCATCGTTTAAGGTCGTAAGCGATTTTATTCTATGGCTAAAATGGATTAAAAATTACCTAATAAAAATAAAAAAGAATTTACCTAATAACGTCCATAGCCAATTTCGCTTATATCATTATTTTTTTTTTTTTGATTATAATACAATATTTTTATCTTGCTATTAAATTATTTTACATCTTAAAACTTTACTAGTATTAAGTATTATGTATAAGACATACTTATATTTAATATTAAATATGTAAAATATTCCATAATTTGCCTTTAATTTGATTTTTTTTATTATAAATGTATAAATTTATATAATTAATTTTATTTGTTTTTATTAAAAGAATACCTTATATAATTTATTTACATTTCATTTGTTCTTTTCTTATATATATGTATATATATATATATATTACTTATTATAATATTATTACTTATTAAAATTATATACTTACAAATATGTGTACTATATTGTTTAATTTTATAATTTCACAATTTGCATTAATTTAATTTAATTTATTAACAATTCTTTAATTCTTTCTAAACTCAGACTTTTTACATAAAATTTAGGTTGGTTTAGGTAGATACAACGAATGCTAAATCCAGAACAGTTAGACCAATAAGATCCATTGCGATATTCTGTAATCCTAGTGAACTTTAAACTCTTTGCTAAATAATTAGTATATAAAGCGAAATTAGGACTCTATACGTTTATTTAGATTCTCTAGAAAACTGACATGCAAAACGCTACCATCCCTCATCTTCTACTCAAATACACCACATATATGATACGGTCCTATGTTAGATGATTTATTGCATATCGCAGAAATATTTTAAAAGTAGAATTAACGTTCTATATATTAATTAAAAAAAACAATATAAATTTTTATATAAAGGACCTCTACAATTTAATAGGTTCTATAAAGACCAAAAAGTATAAAGTAATAAAATAAATTTGTTAGTTGTCTCTGAAATATATAATATTTAATGGTTTTTTATATATTTTTAATGTGGCTGTAGGTCCTTTCTTGTTAAATTAAATTAAACTTTTAATATTTTTTGTTATACATATAATGTATAGATAGAGTATATTATACATATAGAGTAGAGAGTTCGCCTCTCCTTGAGTGTCATCATCAGGATTATGATACGTCATCCTCTTTATTCTATCCTTTATAGTGTACTGATGTTTAATTTATCGGAGGAGAAAATTTTTTTTGTATTACCTGATATTTTGATTTATATATAGTAAATCATTTTAATAAAATCGCAATACGAAATAGATCACTTTTTCTTGAAATGTTCACTTTATTCAAATTTTAAATTTTTTTTCAAAGCAAAAACTATCTCTTCCTCTTTTAAAGTAAAGCAACTCTAATGCATAAGATTGTTTCATAATAAGTTATAACATAAGATATATACTCGTTCTTGTCTAACGGATAAAGGAAAATAGCTTCAGAACTGCAGCAATTCCATTTAATTTATTTTTGTTATTATTTTTTTAAATCTTCATATAGTTTTTTTATTAATATTTTTGATTTTTGATTTTTTTATTATTATTATTTTTTGGCATATTTTTTGTTTTGCATTTTCTTTTATTATACCTTTATGCTCTTTTACTTCCGCTTTAGGTCTCGTTACGCCGACCTGAAAATCGTCCACAGATAACTCTTGAACCGACTGAAACGACGCCTGTACGTAAACTAACCTTTTGTGTGCAGTCATCTACTACTCGTAATCATAGTCTATTCTGTATCCAAATATAATATATATGCAATTGGGTTCGATCTAGATCTTCATGTTCTGTTCCATTCATTTGTTTACTAACATATGTAAAGCTTACCCTTATATCTATCACCTATATATCCAATATAATATTGCTCGTTTTAATTGTAATTCGATTCTATTGTTGTACGAGTATAGAATAACTATTTATCTAACTAGTTTAATTAAACGAACTAATTTAGCATAAGTTAGCATTACTAACCATAAAAATAATTTTCAATGTACATATTTATTGTATCGTCTAATCGTCATCATTCAATCGCTGTGCTCGTCTAGCAAAATAAACCTATACTCCAGCATTATTTTTATCCAGATTTAAAATTTGAAAACTAATTAGTAATTATTGCAGAGATTACACTTTTAGTATCCACACTGTATGTTGGTTAACATATAAATACACTAAGAAAAATTAAACACAAAAAATGTACAATTTTCAATTGGCAAACGCACTAAGCAATTTTATAAAACTACACTAAAAAAATATGTTTAATAAAAAATTAATACTAAATTAGTGTGTGAATTTGTATTGCATACTTAAAACTTAACTTAATTTTCAGTTTGGGCTCATTTTTTTTTCTGTGCAGTTACTTTAATTACTTTATTGACTTAGCTATTTTGTATTGAAGTTGTTTTTATTTTTAGCGAATTAATATTAACAATCACATTTAATAAATTTTATAAATATTTATAAATATTAAAATAGCAAAAAAAGAAAAATAATAATAATTTTGACTTCATTGCATATCGTTTGAAATTCACCTCAACATGTGTCGTCTCCATTTCGTTATGTTCTCATAAAATCATTCAACGAAAATCGAAAATCTTTTCAGTGTATACAACATTTACATTCACAATTCGTTTTAGTGCATTTCACATTGTTCTCTCATACACTAAAAAAAAACCCGTAATTAACTAATTTAGATTTAAAACTAATCCGATCTTTCTCTTAATATATAAATCAATTCTCTAGCTAATGCGGGCTAACCTGAAAAAACAAGGTTCTAGACTTAGTGGCGAAAATTCTAGAGTAATTGGTGACGCTGATATACCATTGGACACTATACAATCTCAAGAAGCGGAAGAGAGATCAAATGTTGGAAATGAAGACAATTCATCCATTTTCGAGCATTTTTGGTATGGCATTGTCAGTGTCGGTGGTTTTATATATCAAAACAGCTACATATTCACCAATATCCTAATGATGGTGAGTTAACAGTTTTTATGCTTATATGTACGATATACAAAAATATTTATACAATATATATAAATATATATGCAATATTTATACTTTTACTGGAAAAGAAGATAACACAAGTACAAAAATATACAGGGTTTTCTATTTTGTGGTTCCGGAAGTAAAGACTTCTGATTGGGGTTTCGATAAAATTTCTATTGAAATAGATGTAATGTAAACATTTAGCAGTACTGGATCCTTTGGTAATAATTTTCGATGACTTATCGGCACGTAACTGTCAGTAGTCGAGAATTTAAACATATTTTACTGTAGACACATCCAGTAAACTAAAAATAAACTAAATAATCATTAAACAATATTTGATGCAAAAACTTTTCACAAGTTTTCACAATTTAAATGTGCTCAGCGGCTGTTAAACGATCCATACGATCGCAGCTAAACAAATGGTGTCTTAAATGACAGCTCTGATAATATATGTTTAATATACAAGAAAATTTTTGCCAAATTAGAACCACGACATGGATAACCCTTTATATATAGATATTTATTTATTGTGCATTAATTTTATATAATATTTTTTCAGACTTGGGCTATTGTTTATCACAGTTGGTTAACATTCGTTCTACTCCTATGGGCTAATTTGCTCTGGATGATACCCAATCAACGCGCCTCTATGATGCGTTCAAGTCCTTTAGTGACCCTATACGCTGAACTACTAGTGGTTGCTCAATATATTTATGGCATGAATTTAAACAATAATGAATTGCCAACGAAAGTTGATGTAAGTATATAATTGATTTGATTAATCATTTTAGGTATATTACAAAAAATATGAACGACATTTCTCAAACCATATTTAGTAGTAATATAAATTATTTTTTATAGGTATGCTCTAAAGTTATTATATTCTTTGTATTAAAAGTACAAATATATATGCTATATATGTGATCTACGATTATAGATCCTGACGAGATCTATGATCTAGGAGGCATTTGTCAAGCTGTAAATAAGACCAAGTCTTGATACATCACAAAAAGAGAAATAAGAAAAGATGAATGATTAGATCTGCATTTAGAGCAGTTGATTTATGCGTGACATGTAATTTTATAGAACGTGACTATATTTCTATCTTACCTATACTTTTTCAGAATACTTTTTGTTTCATGAGAAACTGATTGTTTTTCCGAAGCGATGTTATTCGAAACTCCGATGAGAACGATTTATTATATGATCCAAGATAACTTTAGATTATATTGTTAGATATAACATTTATATATTGAAAAAATTTTTAGAAATAGTTTTTAGTACTCGGTACTTTATACAATCATTGTGCTGAAATTAATTCTTTAAAGTAATGAGTTGAAAAAGTAGTCTGCTTTTTATTCTAAAAATAATGTCTTTATCGACCTGCTTTATTAATACTATATACATGTTTTTACTAAATTTGTCTTTTAATAATCCAAAACATAGTCCAGAACTTTGTTTATTTCTGGTCATAGTTCTGGAATATAAAGCTATATGTTTTATATTTGTTTATAAAACATTCCAATAAGTCATTCTTTCCAATTCCAATAAATCAGTTTCTTACACGTATAAACACGGTTATTGGCAGTTTGTGCCCCAACTGTAGCTCTAGTCCTTATAACAGTGCCAATCTGACTTCATATTCAACCCACACGCCAATTTGAACTCTATCGATTTGTGGCTACGCTCTACCGAGGGTGTTAAGTTATTTTATTGGGTCTATCCTGCTCCAAAGGTTCTCCGGGCTATAACAATATAGCACTATATATATGTTATATATATGCAGTACTTCTGATTTTATAGTAAATACGATATATTCTTGTCCAATATTAAAATTCTAAGAAACCAGGGTTAAAATTATTCTGGTTTTATACATTTTCAAATATAATTTTTTTATATTTATTGTAATAATATTATTGGACACAGTAAGGTCTCAGTAGGACAAAACAAAAATCGATTTAAAACTCATTGTAAAGAACTTATTCATGTGTAACTACACGATCTTCAGCAGACTCACTACTTATGATTATAGAAAACCACTAATAATGGTGTAATTTCCACAGCTACAACCTTCAATTACTTTCTATCAAAGATTTGTGTAGCAATCAATAATAATAGCATTAATTTATAATAAATAATAATATATTAATGTTTTTTTAAATTATTAAAGATTACTGGAATTAACTTAGCACAAATTGGTTTTGAACGACCGCAGGAGCATGATACTCAGCCGTGTGTGCCACTTATCGTTAAAACATTGTTTTTACTTATGTTCTGGGTGACATTGCGACAGTTCAGCAAAGAAAAGAAATATCGGAAAATGGGTCAAAAACTCTCGCATATCAGTTTCTCCTCCTCAAAATACGAATCAAAGAAAACTTCAAAGTTCCTAAAACAAGCTGGTTCAGTTATTAAAAATTTACTTGTGCGTCTATGGATGTGGCTATTGGTGCTGGTGATATTTTTATGTGCTATATCAGGCAAACAAATGACAGGCTTTCGTATATGTTATATGGGACTGTTTCTATTTTTCCTGCTAGTCTTTCAGTCTTCGTCACAAGCTTGGATTAAAATCATGTATGGTTTTTGGCTGTTTCTAATTTTCTACTCAATGTCAATATTAATACTTATATACACCTATCAATTTGATAAATTCGATCAATATTGGAATGATTACTTGAATATATCTAAAACGCTGTAAGTAAAAAAGTATATGTAACAATTTATATATTTACCTATTATTATTTGTAAGTAATTTATCTATATCTATTATTTACTAATAATTGATGTATTTTTTATATCATTAGACAAACCGATATAGGTCTCCTACGTTATAAAACAAAAGACCTATTCTTACATCTAGTTTCACCAACAGTCATTGTAATACTTACCGTTATTCAAGTTCATTACTTTCATAAACGCTTCATAACAGCACTAGAACACCGTACTATACAAGATCGTGGAACTAACTTGCAAAGGATTCGATCGGCGAGTTTTATGAGGGCGAGTAGAAAAAGTTATCGGCTGTCAGAATCAGACTTCCAGCAGTCTTTTATGGATCTCATGCGACATGGCTTAAAGAAAATGAAAGCCAATTCAAAGTATTTATTTGTTAATACGAAGAAACTATTTTGGCGTCTAATGGAACTACATGCCATTAAATTGGTGTATTTGTTTGCATTTCTTTGCTGCGTTAGTGAGGTTTGTATATAATTAATTCACTCCATAATGAATTTATGATATTATGACTAGCTAATATTTTGCTCTAAATATCGCTGTAGGTATGCTTGCTACACATAATTCTGGTGGCTTTATGTTTAATCGGTGTTATGGCCCGTTCGTTCTTGCACATATTCATCAGTCGGGTGATCTCGCTGGTCGTTACTGTGATTGTCATCATCAGAATGATATATCAGATTGCGTATTTGGATCATAATCGTTATAATGTAACATGTGTAAGTTGAAATGAAGTTTTATTTTATTTAAAAACTACTCGTCAGTTAATTGCTCTAGTAAACTTATTATTAATACGAAATAATAATCGACTTTCTCGAAATTGTTGTCTGGCTTGAAGACTATTTGGAGCCATTATCTCATGCAATATTATCTAATTTTCCTTTAATTCCCAGGACTCAAATAACCAAACTGTTTATAATAATGCTTTCTGGTTTGGTGTCGCAAAAGCTTCTAAAGAAACCGGCAACCTCATTGGTCTCTTGAAAATGCACATAATATATATGATGATGGTTACTTTGCATGCTGTGGTAACATTGCGGCATCAAAAATCACGAGATCAAAGAAGTAATGAAGCCTATTTCAAGAAAGTACTCTTTCCTGGTATAACTCGTGCAGACGCAGAAAAGAATTTCAAAGGCATGATAAAGTTTCTGTGCAATTATGGTTTCTATAAATTTGGTCTGGAAATATCGTTAATTATGCTTGTGTGTAACATTGCATTCAGACGTGATATTGTTGCTTTGATTTATGTATCGTGGTTAATTATATTCATACTATGTGATCGAACAAAGTGTTCGAGAATATGGATTATTTATCAATGGTTCCTGGTATCGTCTATCATGATACAATACATTATTTTGGTTGGATTACCACCAAGCTTATGTTTAAGTAAGTTTACTTTTGTTTTTATATGTATGAGTAAAAGCATTAAAATTTTATAAATGTAATCCACTTTACAGATTATCCATGGACAAATTCATCATTTGCGGAGAAAATACAACGTTGGGCTATGCTACCTGGCAATTATTCCTATAATCACTTACCAAAGCTTATATTCGATTTTATAGTCCTCTATATTGCAAAACGTCAGCACCGTGTCTTTGTAATTGAAAAACACTATGAACAGCATAACATAGCATACCCTGGTGGAAGTAATAACAACGTTGTTTCCGATATAGCGAAGTTGGGTGTAGAGCCTTTCGTCAATCCAACACGAGACTTTTTAACAAATATACGTAACTATTTAGATATTTGCAAAAATATTGTGCTCTGCAGTTTCTACTGGGTAACATTGGCAGTAGTGTTTTATGCAGGCACTTGTATAACAGATTTCCTAGCGTTGGGATATTTAATTGGTGCATTTATATTTCTGTGGCAGGGCTCAGATTTCTTTTTGCTTCCCATTAATACAATCATCAAGCGATGGCAATATCTGTTAGCCTTTAACGTTGGAAGTATAGCTGTAAAGACTGCATTGCAAATGGCGGGATGTCTATTTTTCAAAGAACTGACAGAAAATTGTTGTTGGCTTGTCCACATATTCGGTATTACATGCGCAATTAGTAGAACTTCAACCCAAGTCGACGAATTCGATGCTTTTACTTCTGAAGAATGCCCAGCGCCAACAAAACAAGTAGTACTGTTATGGGATGCGATCTGTTTTGCTTTTATATTGTTGCAATTGCGAATATTCAAATCATATTACTTCTGTCACATAATTGCCGATGCTAAAGCTAATAGTTTACTAGCTTCCAGGTAAGCTAAATTGCTAATAGAGAGATGCTTTAACATAAATATAATCTCTGTATGCTCTTCTTAACAGGGGGGCTGAAATAATTGAGGACTTGCGACAGAAGCAAATAGCACATCGACATGAACATGAAATCTTAGTGCTACATAAAATCAAGCGGAAGATGGAAAAGATACGTGCTACACAACAGAAAATCAAACCGGCTGATAAAACCACACATTTTGATGGTAAGTTCAAGTGCTTTGGGCAAACTATCGTATATTTTAGGGAATATGTGCTTCGTTCAAGCAGAAATAAGACGTAAGGCGTTCACTTTTTATTTAAGAGTATTAACCATTTCAGGTGTTATTAAGATTTTTGAAAATATCATTTATAATAATATATACGACAATAGAGAGTGAAGCAGGCGTAATGGATAAGTACGAAGTAAATTTTTATAAGAAATGTAATTTTAATACAATTTATAATTTATAATTTGTTTATATAAAAACTGAGTTGTGTTGCGACTCAATCCTTATATAAAAATAACCAGAGTCGATAGAGTTATTATTTAGTTAAACGACAGATTTTTGGTTTGGTTTAAGTCTGAATTTAAAGTTGAATGGGAAGTATTTATATTGTGGCGCTCTTCATTTTTTGAGCGCATTTTTTTTTGAAAAAAAAAAAAAATTTTTAACAGTTTTTCAATTCGATTTTTGACTGAAAAACTTGAACTGTTTTTTTTATTATGAATATTGTCATAATTTTGAGTGTGTTTCGTTATTGTGAAAAAAAAAATATAAGAAACATATTTTAAAACAAAAACCCAGATGCAGATGAGGAAGTTGTGATAAAAATGGCACCACTGGCGCGCCATAGCAGCTTTTCATCTTGTCAAGGCTCTGATTATTGTACACCAGATGATGCTGACGCGGATGCAGATGCAGATGCAGAAGACGATGTAGTTGAAGAAGATGAATCTCAGCACTCAGTTTGCACAACCGATTCCAGTCGTGCAGACACTAACAGTTCTGAGGATCGAGCACAATTAATTGATAGTCCAATACCCAAGCATCGAATACATATACAAAATGTTGATGATTATGATTCGGATGCACAAACCGACTTTGCCGATGTGCATTCATTGAGTGAAGGTAGTAACAATGTCAGTCCCCGCGCCGGTATTAAACGCCTCAAAATACCCATGGGTAGTTTGCAAACAAAACCACAGGTAATTTAATGAAAGTATTAAAAACAACCGGATCAATTGTCAGAAAATATATATACAACTTTTTTTTCGTGGTTTCGTACTTGAAGCAACTGTCTCCAAGTTCCGATATGTTGACATTACCGTTGGATGGTTTTCTGGACACAAAGCGCATATCCTTGGGTTCAACTGTGTATTCAGATTTAATTGCACCACAAGCGGACAACGTATCTATGGAATCGAATGAAGTGTTCGCACCCTCCACCAGCGTAATTTCATATATACTTCACATATATTTTCATCTCTAATATGTTATAATATTTACCTATACTATTCTTTGCTGCTCTAGTACTCAGCACAGCCAACTAACATGCGCAAGTTATTGGCACCACCTCCAGTAGGGGGACTTACTTCATGCAGCTTAGCTGTTAATGTTAGCGGTGCCAGTTCAGTTATTTCTTCGAATGTAACTACAAATGGCGGCATGACTGGTCGTCATCGTCGACAATCTTCAATTAATGCAGTATCCTGGAATGAAACAGTTTCTATAAAATGCCCTACTGAGGAAAATTTACTAGCCGCGGAAGTATGTGCTGCATAGTTTGAATAACTTTTCATTTAAAATTTAAACAATATGAACAGCAGATTTCGAGATTGTGGAGCATTTATTTCAAATTGATTTTTAATCTTTACTATTTATGTTTTTATTTATTAATGCACCTTGACTAAATGGTCCCATGCACAAGTTTGCTTTTTAAATAGACAGTTCGAACCGTACCATTTGCGTTTATATATGTACACATAATGAAATCATTTCGCAAGAATCACTGATTTGACAATATCTGAAAGAGACCATATATCCGGTTCAGGTGTTATTTTTTCCTAACAATAAAAACTATAACAGAAACTCTGAAAACAGAAATTTAATGTGAATGCACTATTTTGATTTTTTGTCGTAAGAACTATGTCGGTTGAAGTTTTCCTCAAAGCTTCTATTAGATTGCTATGACACGCTGCATCAGCTGGCAAGCAAAAACAAAGTGGTGCTTTACTGGGTGCCTGGTCACACAGAAATCAATGGTACTGAGCCTGCCAACAATCTTGCGAGGTCAGAATCTGCCACTCAAATCTGTGGTTCGGAACCATATTGTGGATTAAGTTGATCTACAACAAGGTCTCTGATTGATAAATGGTTTTCAGTCGGGAGAAGTCGCTACTGGCGCGACATTCCAGGTATTCATCAGGCTAAAGAACTGGTTCATCACTACAGTTATGTTGAGATCTCCTTCTTCAGCAGAACAGAGTTGAGGTTGCAGGTGGGATATTTAACGGGTCACCTTAGCAAAATGGGTCTATCCAAAGAGATTGATTGTCGACTCTGCTTAGATGCAGACGAGACTTCCAGTGACTTGATCTGGGCCAGGAGGGGTCTGGGTCGAGAACTACTCTCCCTTTCTGAAAGTAGTAGGTCCTCAATGGCCGACATTCTAGTTCTTATTCGGAAGGCGCAATGTCTTCTGTACGGTTAAGGTCTGTTGCAGCACAAAAAATCAACTATGGTCACTGTGCTTCGCACCGTTAGGAGCTGGTACCCCGTTTATTCCTATTCCTATGTCGGTTGAAAAGCATCCAGATGTTTTTGTTTGTTTATTTTTTTAATTATAGCGAAGATTCTATGATTTATTTATTCTTTCAACAATACGCTGAGATTTATATGTATATGTTTTGTTGTCTTATCCGATTTGTTGTTCATATTGGTAAACATTTTATTAATCGAAACTATTCAAGAAATAAATATTTCTGGTATTAATATAAAATATAACATCAAAAGGAATCTGATGACTTGCCAGTGACATTACGCCAAAAATCGCTGCATAGACGACATCTCAGTGTGGGCAACGCGTCCTACTCAATGGGTGAGGGTGTACGTCGTCGATATAGTAACATATCCGGTGTACGAGACGAAACCTACTTACAAAGTGCGACACGTCCACAAAGTTGGGGTCCAGTTGGTACGGCCTATTATTTGGAATCGTTGATGTTTGAAGTACCCGAAACTACGCTGCATGGACAATGTATTTGGAGCTACTCAATGTTTTATTTGTTGTGTCTTTTTTGCTATACTACATAACAATTAAGAAAACTTTGTAAAAATAAACAAACAAAAAATACAACATTCAAACTATTTCGAAATGAAACATTTTTATTATAATTCCATAATATAATTTTTACTATAGCTAGAAAGGTAGTGCACTAAGTTTTGATATGTAAATATCACCGCATTAAAGTAACCTAAAGTATGAAATGAAATTTCTATGTATATAATTATAAATAACATGAATATGTCTATATTCTGAGTATCCTAATATGCAATTGATTAGGACTTTTTTTAAATAAAATAATAAGTACTTATACACTCGTATAACTAATGACGAAAAATATCACTTATATTTTGTAAATATTGAGAAGTGATAATTTTTAATATTTTAAAAAGATTCGAGTATATAAAAAGTATGCAATTACTTTAAATATTTTTATTTAATACCATAATTATGAAATACTAAAATCCTGCAAAAATAAAGTACCTAATTTATGCAAGAATCGTGGCTAAAATGTAACTGACTAATTCCAATAGTCACTAACTTTGCAGCCACATTGCATTATAAATCATTTTTAAGAATTTGTAAATTTTATATTGTTTAAGTTAATTTTTTTATATTGTCTTTTTTATATTTCTCTAATATCGTACTCTCTAAATGCATATATCTGACCCACCTTTCTATGTTAGGTGAAGATGAAATATTATTCTAAATTTTTTTATGAGCTACATAAATATTTAATATGGTTAATATTTATTAATAATAATCATAATTTGCTTATTTGCATTTTAATTTTAATATTTATATTTTTGCTTTTTACAGTTTTTATTTCTATATCTTTTCTTATATATATTTTTAGAATATGGTAATCAAATACCTGGACCAAGAGCGCACAAAAGGCAAACGCATCCAGAGGGTAAAACTCTTTTATTTATTATTATTTATAAATTAATTTATTTTACAAGAACTTATTTTACAAAAGACTTATAAACATATTAGGGGGGGACGGGGTATACACGATTTCGGACAACGAGCTCAATAATCGTAATCAAAAGTAACGTAGTCACAATGCAGCGCGAAATGTGTCTTTACCTTTAATCGGAATCGAAATCGAAATTTATCTTGATGTTGTCGCTTTGTGGTGTTATTATATTACTCGGTTATGGAGTTCTTTTGTTGAGATCGTGATATCTACTATTTTATCCAATAATTGGGTTTTTATAAATATATTTCAAAAATCCTTTTTAAACTCCTGTGTTAAATTAATGAATGTGTTAATACTTCATGTCGATTTATGTATACTTTTTTTATATCTTATGTATTTTATGATTGGTTTTTATATTCCTCTTTAACACAATAGATCACCTAAACTATGTTACACAGCATTCCTCAATTAATATATATTATTATTAGTTGGCATGTTTGTGTAATTAATTATATCTAGCTTATAATACTAGCTATTATTTATGTTATATATAGTAACAGTATTTTTTATTAATCTAAAATTTCTAGCAAACTCATGCATTCCTACATTTTGCTAAGAAAGGTAGAAAAGGTTAGATTCGGGCCCATCTGTTTTACTCACTTACTTATTGTTGTCCTCTTCTCCTCGTGGAGCATAGGGCCTCTGCCATAGATCTGAATCTAACTCTATTGGGTGCTTCGCGGCATATATCATTTCAGTTATAATTTGCATTATTAAGTTCTCTGTCTACAGTTCTGCGCCACGTTTGTGCTGGTGCATCAGATCTTCTAGAGTTTTAGGGGTTCCATCTGATTGCTGTTTTTACAATATTGTTGGCAGGTCTTCGAAGTGTGTGGCCAATCCATCGCCATTTGCGTCGACCAATCTGAACTGGAACGGTTCAAGTCTTCATTTATTATTTTTTCAGGGTATCTTATACCAAGTATTCTGCGCAAGCACTTGTTTATGAAAGTCTGAAAGTCATAATTTGATTTAGTATTACAACGCAGTAAGCTTGTGCAACTAATTGCATCTTGTTAAACAGCCACGATTTATTAATAATTAATGTACATATGTATAAATATAGTCTTTCAATTTATTTTAGGGGCTTTCAGTTCTTCAAGCACCTTTCTCTGGCTACGCGTCTGCAACATCGATTAAGCCTTAGTATCCTTGTCAGAATGCTTCCATCTTTTACTACCGAATTATATTGTAATCCAATTGGTAACTTTTGTGGTTTTTCATAGATAAATTGCAACTATTTAAATTACATAAAGGATCCAATGTAACAGCTGCATTATTGTTGTCCCAAAGTTGCTCATTAATAATTGTGGTAAGCTGTGAAGATGTATATGGCAGACAACATGAAAGAAATTATAAATATGAATACATAAATCAGGATATTATGAAACCTAGCCATTTTAGTGGGACAGTGCCGAGAATTAATTGTAGTCAAAGTGAAGTGGTGTGTACATCTGAAAATAGATGGGGGACATCATGGGATGTAGGGCTACAGTTAAGGCGAAAATTAGGAACTGATATATTGATGCGTGTCAAGTAATTGTTTATATATTGCACATATATCCATATATATTCTGACCTTAATTGAGCAATGACAGTTTTTGTTGCATTGGGAACGGCGTCACTCATCTTTGCAGATATTTGGCGGAGTCTTATCAAGAACTTTGTTGCTATGCAACTGTGGTCTCGAGGAGGAAACTCCATGTATGTTGAGTACTATAGGTTTTTTATTTGATTCTTACGTATTGCTCTTCCTAAAGCGTTAGTTTTGTGTATTGTTGTTTTGAAACTTGTCCTGATAAACGTGATTTAAGTTATTAGATATGAACAAAATGTATTCTATTAGATGTGATCACTTGTATCACTTGTATGAAGTATCTAAAAATAACTTTCAGAAAACCTAAAAAAAACCCGTCGTCGTCTGGCATGGGGGTGAATCTGTGCTGAATTTACGAATTAAAAATTAGTGATTTAAGTGATTTAATTTATCAGATATTCGTAACAGTACTGATCAACATACTAGTATCCTTCCTGTTCATACCTAGGTATATAAACTTATGCACAAAAAAATAAAGTAACTCAATATTTTATTATTAATTTTATTAAAATAAATAGTTATTTATGATTACTAATTATATATATTATATAAAGTATATATGTGATACACATTCATTAGAAAATATTATAATTATGCTACTATTTTGTTAACAGCATGACAATATTTAAAGTTACTTTCAATTCATTATAGTATAAATTTATATTTATATATACATATATTTATAAGTGATTATTTTATATATACTTGTATATATTCTTTTATTGTATATAATATATATTTTTTGCCTTGTTCAACAGATTTTGTTAATAATATTTTTGAATGATATTTTTATACCCAAATGTATTCCATATAAATTATATGTACATGTTAATTTTTATTTAAAATGTATAAAGTTGTTTGTATATGATATTTTTATTTTATTTTAATTTTTTAAATATTAATTTATTTGATATAAAATCGTATTGTGTTTGATTCAGATGCAACCATACTTTGGCTTGAAAATGTTAAATTCACATTAATTGGTTCGGGTATAAAAGGTTTTTAATTTCCATTCAATGCCTTGTATAAATGTGTAAATATTGTAACATTAAGTGTATATATAGTGTAAATATATATACATATATAATTAAATATTATATATTGTGTATGTTATTTAATATAGCTCAACTGTGTGTGCAATTTAACTATCGAATAACTAATAATTTGATGCCTTTCGTGGGGTATATACCAACAAATTAAAATACCTAACTTGCATGCTCGAGTCCAGAAACTTAGGAGCTTCTAAATACTTTTCTATATATATATATATATATATGCCTATAATTTGAATGCATATAATAAAGCTACTTTTATCTATTAAATCCTTTAACGCTACTATTTTCTTAAGCTGGACTAATTTTACTATCATTAGTTAAATTTTTTACCATTTTCATACTTTTTCCATACTTTTGTACTCTACTCTAAGCTTTTCTTATAAACAATATAGTCCTTAAAACCGACAATGCTGCTTGAATGTGCTATAAATAGTTTTTAATTATCTATAATGCAAACATTTAAATCCATTATGTACACTTATATTTATTTACCTATATATATAGCTATACATACTATTTGTGCTCGTCCTTATATACATAATTTATATGACAAATATACACTTTATACATTATTTTATAAAAACATAAATACACAATATCGTATCTTGATATCGTGAACTGGTGTTTATGTGTCTTAGTATCTATTTTATATAATAAATATATTCTTTATATAATCCATTTACATTCTATACAAATCGTTGCAATACCAATGTTCAACTTCTCAATATTAATAAAAATTTTATTTGTTCGTTATTCAACGAATAGCTGTACGTGCGGGCGACTACTATATGTTCGAAGATATGGACAAGAAATTCGAATTGGATCTCATAGAAGATGAGGTTGATTTTCTTGATGACCAAGATAATATGACGCCGGGTGAGAAGCGCATAAACCGCCGGAAAGCCCTTTACGATGTAAGTACAGATATTTTCACATCTTACAAAAGACAAAGAAAATTTTAATTTGAGCATGGTAACACTGCATTTTTTACTGAATATCGCTCGAAGATCGTTATCTCTAATTTCTAAATAATTAAAGTTTTATTAAATTATTCTGTTTGAAAACTGCATGCATTGGAATTATTTATAATAAAAAAAAAACGACATTAAAATTTTTACACAAAAAACAATCGCATATGACAAAAATTTGAAAGCCAGGTTTGGAAAGATATTCACGCGGTTGATTATCGTCATCAGCTTTATGTGCGCCAACTTTCTTGTGTCTCAGCCCCCGGTTCACGTATTGGCATTAAAGTAGACGAAGAATTAGATGTTAAAGGTGGAATCGGTGTGCGCACCTCAACCCTCTCTGAACCGCTCGATTTGGCGTGTTGCTCAACGAGCGAACAGTTTGTGAGTTCCCAGCACGAAATTTTGTAAAATTCACCCAAAATTATTTTTGATGAAAGGCACTGCGTTTGTAATTCCACATAAATTTATATTAACTATTTTAAAATGTATTTTATACATTCAATTCATATTTTTTTATTAAATTATATGTAAATATTTTTAATATTATATATCTTTAATTTTACACAAATCTACTTCATAAAAATGTAAACTCATAAAATTTGAGAGCAATCTAAAAGAAAAATTTACATTCAGTTTATTTGACTATATTATTACAATATTTTTTTCCTTCTTATTAGGACTTAAAAAGTGAAATATAAAAAAATTAGGAAAAATATTAGATATTACAATTATTTATCAAAATATATTATCCGTCAAAATTTCATCATAGTTGCATATAATTCTATTAAAGCTCAAATTAGATCATCTATAATATAAATGTTAGCCACCTTCATAACTAGTTCGGTTCTCCAAGTCTAAATCTAATCTATAAAAATTAGATCATCTATAATATTAATGTTAGCCAAATACGTTTTTGGCTTAAGATATATAACTTTACAGGTTAGTTTTATCTCTCCGTATCTCCTCGTGTTACTTCTGTTTAAATAAATTGACAGCTTTAGCAACGGAATAACTATTTCTGTTGATGATTACCAATAACGACCTTCATAACTTCCTAACAAGTTCGGTTCTCCAAATCTAAATTTAATGTTTGTCATTTAGAAAGACAAATCTCTAGAGCAGAGAAAAATACTTTATCCAAGCTAAGATCTGCATCAGTTAAAGCGTTATTTGAGCTTGGGTCCTTGTAGTAATATATCTATAATTATAATTTCGTCAGTTAAATAATAATAATAATCACCATTAAATAAGGGCTTACTTGTTACTTTTAAAATAATATATTCTTGATTTTTGTCCAAACTTTGGCTCTACAACTCAGGGCAGCGTCGATCTGATTTACATTCAAACAATCCATAGCTTCACGTATAGTAATAATATCGTTTTAAGTCACGATTTGTCAGTCCAAAACACTTGAATAATTTGAATTTTTAACCAATAAAAAAAATATTACGCCTTTATGTATCGTCTGTGTCTACTTTAAAAGCTTCATCTACAGGAGGTTCAACTGATATATGAACTCTAAAATGGAGAGATATAAATGTAATACAGTCCGTATTTCTTAGAAAAATATTTGAAAATTCTGGGTACAAAACTATGATCATAGTTATACAATTTTCATTAGGTGGATGTAGAGACTGTCATAGGCTCGCTGTTAAGAGAAAGTGATGGTAAATGATATATTATAATATATCATTTAATATATAGTTTAATACTACTTTAATTTAATTTAGCAGTGAACATACAGCAATCATGAAATTAAATGATATACTTAGTATACCACGTCGTTCTCTTTCCTTGTCCTACGTTGGTAAATTTGTTTTCCGGGATCCGATGAGCTACTATAACAACAATATATCTGAACAAAATCCTTCAAAAGTGCTGATTTTAAGTTCCTATTCAATGAGCAACACTTAACTATCCTACATAGTACAATCACTTATATTACAATATTAGCAAATTTTTGACTGTTTTCTTTTTTTTGGAACTATTTTATAACGTTAAATTATTGTATAATATTCTGCTGATTTTTTTTACGTTAAAATTTTATATAAATTCTTATTAATTATTGTTCCTTTTGTTAAAAAGATAAGATTAGTCAAAGTCCCATCGAATGATCTGGAAATGAAGGAACAAGATCAAGATCAAGATCAAGATCAAGATCAAGATCAAGATCAAGATGATCAAAGCTTTTATAAAGATTTGGAACCAGAGGAGTCCTCAACAGTTATACGTCCAAGCACAAGTAAAGAAGGAGCTTCTACATCATCAGCTACTGATGAGACAAAAAAAACACGTGGACCTGTGGAATTGACTGAAAAGGAATCAGATGATGGTAAATACAATGATAATACACATTAACTTTAATTATATTATTATTTATGATATATCTTCACCTATCGCTAGATTCTTAACTAAACTTATTTAGTTTACTTATTTTTTGATATTTTTTTAATATTGTTTTGATTTTTAACAAATCAGATCTGGAAGGAAACCCTATCGTACGTTTACTTGAAGGTTTCTTAGTCTCGCTATCACTACGTCTAAATCGTTTCTCACGTAATTATCGCTATGTGAATAAGATCTTAACTGAAGAAAAGAAGGCCGTAAAGGTATGTACTTTTTATTATAAGTGAATTATTAATTTTGCTGTTAATTTAAATTTAAAATAATAAAATTTGCTATATGCAGGAATCTCCCAGTCTCTATCAAGCCAGAGGATCTGCCGTGATTCAGCTTATTAAGAAGCTTGACAGGTATTTATATGTCAAAATAAACAGAATATAAAGCTAAAGAAAAATAAATTGTATGAAGTACTTGATTAGTCGAGACATTCGACATTCATAACCGACTATCTCGGTATTTTTTAAGCCAGCAACTGAAATTGGCATTGTTTAAATTAATAGTATTTATGAAACAAATTCTTTGACAACTATTAGTATAAGCTTTTTTATTGTTTGTTGTATATTTAAATTTCTAACTATTGTTATGAATTCCTTCTACTATTATTTTTCTTTGAATTTCAATTATTTATTATTTTTAATTTATTTTATTAAATTAATTTTATTTTTTGCATATGTTTACGTTTCCTCCTTTCCTTCACCTTTGTTTGTTCTCAAAACTAAATCACAAAAATAAAAATCAAAAAAAAAAAAAAAACACATCGTCACATTTGCTGTTATCTGCCACATTTGATTTGTTTAGAGATGATAAGGATGAACCTCCTTCCTCATTCACTGCAAGGAGTGCACAAAATAATCAAAACATATCACCACAATATCAAACAAATACCACAACTCCACAAAACACCCCACCAATCACCAATACCAACACCAACACCACCACCAACTCCACAAATCAAACATTAGATTCAGATTCTCAAACGCAATCACAACCAAATCTGCAAGATCAAAGTAGTCAATCAAGTAATATCACTCACGACAATCAAAACACTCAAGAAAGCCAAACAACCCAATCAAGTCGAGAAATCCAAGCAAGTCAAGCAGGTCAAGACAGTCGCACAAGTAAAACAAGTAAAGCAAGTCAGCCACAAAATCCAGACGCAATCATCGAAATTCCAGTAGACACAGTCGATACAACCAAACATAGGTAAAAATTAAATTAATTAAATATTTAATTAAATTATTAATTTAATTAATTCAATAATTTAATTAATTAAGTAAACAAAATTAAATATTAGTTATAAAGATACAAAACCAATGCTAAAGGCTTCTCCAGACATTTTAACTTAACATATTGTATATTCTTATTTAAGTTCTAAGTTCTAAGTTCTATTAAAAAATTACTAATTAAATTTTTTGTTTATAAATTAATTAAGTTTTAATTTAGTCACTGTTATGGCTTCAACGTTTTTATTTACTAATTTTAAAAATCATTTAATGCATTTCTCATATTTTTAGAAGTGAACTGCAATCAAATTTAGCGTCGGCTCGGAGGTAAGTTGTGATTTGCTCAAAAATTTTTTTGTTTTTTATTAGTTGTGCAAATTAAATTTTTAAATAAAATAACTTTAAGAATTAGGATATACGATAGTGAATCTTCTCACTGTAGCTTAAATCAATACAACTTCTTTATCTCATACTTTTTACAAGAGTTCTTTGCATTTTAAGTTTATTTTTAAATTGAAAAAATTGAAAAAAGAAGATTAGGGAAAAAACACAGAAGATGTACCTACGTATTCCATATATGTAGATTTTTATTCTTGTTTCTCTCCATTCTTGTTCTTCTTTCAGCCTCATTTCCCATCGAATTAATTATGTGAGATAGTTGATAGTTAAAATGTCGTCTTGACTTTGTTGAAAAGTTTGGGTTATCGGAACAACACAAATCAGAAGAAACAGATATTAGAAATTAGAACCTTTTTTAATAATACTAACTCCGATACTTAACTACATTAGATGTACTTCTCTAACTATTCTTCTAAGTTAAAATATTTTTTAATAAATAAGAGTTTCTACCCTTCTTGTGTGTAAACATGTATTAATAGCAAGTTTTCTAGTCTAGGATCAAATTTAATAAACACCATAAATGAATTATAAGAGTTTGTATATATATAAGACCTCTACCTAATAGTGTAGGATCATATCGTGTCTAAGTAATTTAATTGACCTGTGTAAGTAAGGCTACAAGTAAGGCTACGTGATCTACAAGATCACTCCAAATGAGAATCCACTACTATTGCTTATAGCAGATTTTTTAGTCTAGTATTCCGTTTACTTAACAGTAAATCTTTCAGACAAATTTGGTTGAAATTTTAAACCCAAAAAACTATTCGGAAACAATAGAACATGGATAGTTGTAATTGTAACTGGTTTCAAAAGTAAGAATCTTATTTATTCTTAAAAAATCTTACTTAAAGTTAACTTAAATTTAAACCCGAAATAAAAGTCAGTGTAAAATTGTTTTTAGTTAAAGTTACAAATGTCATTTTTTCGTTACACCTATGAACTCAAGTGCTTCGGACTCTATTTTTCTATCCCAATAAAATTTTCCATAAATGTGATCTCTTAATAAATTTTACATCAACTTCTTACTTACTTACTTACTTACTTAGGTAGTTGGCCATTACAGACGTAAGTTATTCTTAGCCGAGTCGAGTAGCCTCCGCAAGCCAACCCGATCAAATCTTAACTTCTGATTTTCTATATATATTCTTCAACTTCTGTTCTTCTCTATTTTTATTAATTTTTTTTGGCTTACTAGATTTGTGAAGGAACCACGGACATTTATAGCAACAGTAATAATAGTAATATCCTTTAGTTGGAATCAAGGCCTTTGTTCACAATTTTTGGACTTTCTATTATCCTAACAATCCTATTAAGCTTGTTTTCTACTAAAGTGATCTATTGAAAATATTGTATTCTATTAAAAGAAAATGTCTTACGTTCTTAGAAGGTTTATAGTCCAGTTACTTCGACCAAACTTCGCAATGACCCAGCAAAAAAATTGCTAAAAGAGTCTGAAAATGGCCAGTTTGAGCTTATATGAAAGCTTTAATAAAGTTTTCAATTGAATTTGATCTGCATTTCTGAAATTTGGTGAAATTTAATAAAAATGCAAACTCCAGTGTCATTTGCTAATTCACAAAAGCAAAATTTTGACCCCTCCTTCACATACACTATTTTCTCATTTACGCTTATTCCACAAATACCATGTGTTCTCTAACATTCAATTCAAATCCTTTTCTTATTTTTTATTTTTCATCCATGAGATGAAAAAGCTTTCAGCTATCTGACCTATCTGTTGACCTAATTTCTTAAAACAATTTTTGAAAAATAATTAGCTTTCACTTTTGGCACTTTGCAGATTAATCTAGCACTCACAAAAATAGCAATTTATTTGGTAATAAAATATTTAGATGCTTTAGTCTATCATACAATATGTTTCCGCACAAAATTTTTTAGGTTTTTAGAATTGTTATATATCGATTTAATTTAATTTTAAGATAATTAATTTTAATGGTTTTATTTCGATTTCAATAGTATGTTGACGCATCTATTTTTCACATTTACCAATAACCTTAATTTTGATCATTAGTTTCACTCGAATCAAAACTCCATTTTTATTTGAAATATTACATTATTTTCATGCCATTGAACAGTAAGTCTTCCTCAGTTCTACCTAGTTCCTTATAATATAAATTTTTGTTATACTTTTCTGTTATATTTTGCACAGACGTAAATTAGCGGGTTTGCCCGAAATTCGTATACGGGCACCCTCTTTCGATCGCAGTTATAATGGCTCGGGTTATATAAGTAGACACCGGTCCTGTGAGTGCGTTGACAGGTAGCAAAAAAATACTATATTTTATTCGTTAATTATAATATCTCGAATGTATACATTTCGTTTGCATATCAATTTACATACATATGAGTTGATCATTACCTATGCCTCAGATCAATTGGCAGTTAATTTTTACTTAATCATCTGGATGGAACATATGTATTTTTGCTCTTGTTTGGTCAAAGAATGCATAATTTCTTCTTATTTATTATCATTTTAATCCGTGTTTTTGTAGTCCAGCTGTTATTTGTTGCATGCCTAGCTTTCACTCCAGTAATTAGAGAACAAAGCTAAGATTATATTTATTTACATTTTCGAAATTGTAACAATTCGTTGGCATTTTTATCATACGCATCCATTTATTTCATTTTATTCATTTTTGTTTGCTTTCCGAGTTGTACTTAGTTATTCTACATATGTATTTTGTTTATATCTCTTAAAAGCATGCGAGTTCCAGCTTTTATATATTTAAGTTTGAAAACGCTAAAATAGTTAGCGTTTAGTGAAATTATGTGATTTAAATATGTTTGTATTACAATTTCAAAAACAACGAGATTTTCATATAAATCTTTGATCCACTAGTTTAAGACTAGAAGTTTCATCCCTCTTCGCTTTGCTTGCTGAAAATGTTCTCTCCTCTTCCGGTAATAATTTTTATTTATTCTTTATTTGTGCAAGCAAAATATTATGCTAAATATTTTTGTTTCCATTTTTACGTCCCTAAAAATATGCAATTTAATTAAAATCTTAGAGAATCTTAGAGATTTTTTTTACTTTTGTAAAGAAATTGTCAATAAAAAAATAATTGTTAGTAATAAATATATCATAAAATATATATATGGGACTATATAGCAGGGTTCGTATTTATTCACTCATGAGCAGCTCAGGCTCATAAGCAAGAGCCAATTGTTTGTCATGAGTGTGAGCCCAAATTTACTCATATTGAGAGCTGCTCATCAGCATGAGCCTTCCATTTGCTCATATTAAAGAACAGCTCATGAGATCTCACGAGCTCAATTTTTTGATTTGCGATTCTCAATAAAAAGCGATTTATTTTTGATTAGTTTACTTGCTTTATTTATTTTTATATACGTTACTTGTTATGTGAAAATATATAATTTAAAATTAACTTAGCTTATAACTATTTATATTAAAACAATATAATGAAACAATAGGTCTGTTTCACCAGCTACTCGTAGTAACTCAAGTAAAACACAAGTAAAGTTCAAACTGAGCACGTAACACAAATAAAATGCCAAATAACATTCTTTACACAGATTTTCATGGAACAGCTTTGTATAAAATCTGGTGAGAAGACCAGTGCCGCGGAATATACATTGTTTCCGAGAAGTTTTTTGATGACTTGTTTTAACAAAGAAAAAGTATTATATCTTAAATTTAGAGCATGAGATCTCATGAGCCTCAGCTCGTCGTACTCTTGCTCACGTGCGTGATTCAATTTATAACTTAATAGCGGTTCTTGAGCGTGAACTCTACAATTGGACTCACTCGTGAGCGTAAGCAATCATATGAAAAGAGTTTCTTGCCTGCTCATGAGCTGTGAGCAGAATGAGGAGAAAAGAGCCACTCATGGATACGCAAATACGAACTTTGCTATATAATAAAAATAACACATATAATATAATTACATATAATAAGTCTAATAATTGTCATAAGTAAACTAAAAAGTTACAACCTGAATCATATTTTTAACAGACCACTGTTTGGAGCTCTTTCCTGCCTTCTGCTTCCACTTATAGGAAACAAATAAATACATGTGATAAGCAATCATAACATAGAATATTCATTTCTAATGCATAATAAAAAGCTTTTTTCAAATTTTTTTAATAGAAAATTGAATTTTTCATAATCTCAAAATATCAAGAATATATAATTCAATCCACACTTTCAATCTAAAATTCCAGTACAGCTGCAATTAAACTGCTCGGTTTTCTATATAAGAATTAATATTATGTATTATGTTTTCTACCATTATCAGAAGTGGCTAATTGGCACTACATCATAAAGTAAATAGATTCTGTGCCATACTTTTAGACATTCATTAAAAGTATTCACTTCTGATTTTACTTATGCGCTTAAGTTTGAAGACACATTGGTTGGTTTCTCATTATCCCTTTATCACTGTCTGTGTAGTTAAAATTTATAAGTTTTGTGTAACTATATTTGGGCTTTTTGTGTAGCTCATTTACATAACCGAATCGGTTCTTTCTGAACAGATATAGTTCAATATATTCAAACTTAATTTTTATATAACTTTTATTGCATGATATCTATATTACAGTCACGCCGATTTTGCTTTTGAGGACGAAGATTTCATTACTCGTGATCATCATGTTGTAATAGAGGTTTTGATATCAGCCTGGTATGCTCTACTAGCTAATACGGATTTGATATGTTATATTGTTATTTTTATAAATCAGGTAAAACATTATTATTATGAAAATTGATTTAAATAGTCTTATATATATACTTACATTATCTATGTGTTTGTAGGTTGTCAATGCTAGCGTCATTGCATTGCCAATTCCACTAATGGTCTTCCTTTGGGGTACTCTCTCGCTGCCACGTCCAACCAAAACTTTCTGGGTTACACTTATTGGCTACACGGAATTGGTTGTACTTATAAAATGTGTCTTCCAGTACAAACTTATTTGGGCGAATTACACCAGCATTGGCCAACCATTGGCACCGGCCAAAATAATTGGAGTGCAATGGAATCCAAATTATGCTACTTATGACTTAATGGTACTGTTAGCATTATTTTTCCACAGGTTTGTATAAATGATAACTTAATGTGGATGAAGCCGTTTATATATATTATTTTTCCTTTATATTATAACAGGTTTATTTTGAAATCGCAAGGTCTTTGGAAATCAGACTATGAGTTATCAACAAAACCTGCAAATAGCCCACCACACGAGTAAGTATTTTGTAGTGTTTTAACAAATAATATTGCTAATGCATTGGGTAAATGGGTTTCTAAATAACATATGCCATAAATAACTCGATGAGGTGAAATAAAGTTTGTGTTTTGGGGTGCTGATTGTAACTTCGACCTAAGTCATATTACCTTACCACTTCGACGGAACGAACCCATAAATTAATATAGTTCGTCCCATATTAATTTATGTCTGAGTTGGGACATAAAAACATAAGGGCGTCATCATAAGGAAAATGACTGCAGTTTAGGTACACATTTGAAATAAACAAATACTTAAAACGTTGCTAGGTTCTGACATGAATACGACAACAATAGTTCACGCTTCACAAAGGAACCGTGAAGAAATCAGGTGGAGACTTTTTAGAAGACCTCTACTTCGGTGTAGAGGACGGTGTTCTCTTGTCAATTGTCAACCTTAATAATGTTGTCTCCCTTGAAATGTGTCGCAATATTTATAATATGAAATACCCTTCAGCGTCACGTGCAAGGGAAAATTGTTTTCGCCGCAAGTGATTGTGGTCTTGCAAGAGATTCGTTTTGGACTTCATATGAAAGTGATCAATATGCATCATGCAATGACAGGCAGTCTAAATGTGCCTGTCGACGAAGTTGTAACATTATTGGATGTTACTTTATCTTCACTTCGGTACATATAATGCGTATTACTTTTTGATTATTAATTTGTCATCTCTTTATCTAAAAAAAGTATTAAACTTACAAATCCATTTTCATATAGTCGTGGCGCAATATAAAAAAAATTTAAATAAGACCAAATTTATTTTTCCTAAATCTTACCTACACGATCTTCTATTAAAGAAGAACTTACGCTATATTAAACATTCAAGGTGATTTCTAACTCTTCGATGTTTACACAGGGACACGTTTTACCATTAGTTCTGAGTAGATTCCTTCAATTGTCGTAATTATCTTATCAATTCTATATAAATGTCCTTGTCATCTATTTTTTTTTTACTTGTTTTCAGCAAAACATCAGTTCAGCTTTGCAAATTTCTAATATCTATTTTTATGTTTTTTTAATTGTGTTCACTTTTTTGTATACTTAGACGAAATCGTGCGGGAGTCGAGGAATCCCCAACAGAGCCAACTGGATCAATATCATTACCTTCGCGCGTTCGTAATGCAACAAAAAAAATACTTATTATTTCTAAAAGTCGCGATGAAGCTATGAGTTTGCAAGGAGTTGATGGTAATGAGCAGCACGATAGGGACTCCACCAATAGCCCTCATTCTAGTGTGCAAATAAAGTAAATATAGCAGAGTAAAAAACATAAATCAACATTTATTTAATAATTAATTTAAATTCTTTTTTGTTAATTTCGAAAAAGACGATCCAAATACTTTTCATCATCGGGAACGTTTTTCTACTCTTTGCTTCATAAGTCCAGACTGCCTACTGATGTGTATGCGCTTATGTTCCTTTGTGACTTCATAAACTTCTTTGTATTACTGTTTGGATTTACCGCATTCGGTGTAAGGCTGTCTTGCATTTCCACAACTTAATATCACACTTAAATATATACTTTTAGGCGCAACAACCTGAAGGCGGCGGAGGTGTGCAAAAGTATCTCAGTGAAGACAAAGTACCTATACCGTTTCTAATCATGTTGCTTATACAGTTTATATTGATCGTCATAGATCGAGCACTTTACTTACGTAAAGCTCTGTTCTATAAGATAATTTTTCACTTTTTGTCTGTAATTGGCATACATATTTGGATGTTCTTTGTGGTACCTGCAGTGACGGAACGCAGTTTTTACGCGTCCGCCCCACCAGTCATTTTCTACATAATCAAATGTTTTTATATGCTGCTGTCTTCATATCAGATCAAATGTGGCTATCCTAAGCGTATTTTGGGTAATTTCCTCACTAAGAACTTTTCTCTCGTGAATATGATAACTTTTAAAGTGTAAGTTGAAGGCTTAATATTATGTTGCATTTGTTTGAGAAATCATTACTCCTTTATAGTTACATGCTTGTGCCTTTCCTTTATGAATTGCGTACAATATTGGATTGGGTGTCCATAGACACGACTATGACGCTATTTGATTGGTTGAAAATGGAAGATATTTTCTCCGACATATTCTTTATAAAGTGTAGTCGTCAAATGGAGAGCGATTTTCCAGCAATGCGTGCAGAGAAAAAACCTCTTTTTAACAAACTTCTTATGGGCGGCACGATTATACTAATTATAGTCATATCGATCTGGGGTCCGTTGTGTTTATTTGCCCTAGGCAATGCTGTTGGTCAACCGAATGTTCCATCTGAAGTGTCAGTTAATATACGCATTGGATCTTATGACCCCATATATTCATCAAATAGTCGTGAAAGTATATACACTTTTAATCACGAAATGTTTAGTGATATGCAGAGTACATATATACGCCAGAAGGGCGCACTCACCTTTTTAAATAGCTATGATGCCGAAGATATAGCAGTTGTTAAATTAGCTTCAAATTCACCATCAATGTGGAATATATCGCCTCCAGACAGAGACCGACTGCTAGATGAATTAGAAGCAGGCATGCAATATGATTAAGTAGTTAGAAGTATTTTATTTTTAACATATTTATATTCTCCACAGGTTCCACCTTAAAAGTACGTTTAACATACTCCTTCACGCGGATTCCTGTGGCAAAAGCAGCGAGTGGCGTTTCGACGGAAGAAGTAACTTTCGATATTGGACCCGAATTCAAGGATAAAGAGCAGTTGATAAAAATGCTAAAGGGTACCGCAAGTCCAACTGATGTCGTTGTGATACCTAAAATGGTACCAAAGTTTATAAAAGTCCTTAACAATGGTGGACCAAGCATTGTTCATGTCTTAATGCCACCGGAACACCGTAAGCTAAATGTTTATAAATAACTAACATTCATAATATCTGATATTTTTTAAATTACTTAAATTTCCAGTTTATCGACCATTGATTTTAAAAATGCATGCACCATCAGAAGATAGCATCTGGTGGGAGATTATGGATTTCACCGATGATGAGTTCTATACCAATACTTTGAGTAAATTACCTATGGCTAAAGAAAAGGCAGGCGTCCTGATGTATACTTTCAACGATAAGAAATTTCCATCTACTTTTAGTTTTCTAACAGCAAGCGGGTATGTTTATGCGACGTAACGATTAGTAAAAATTGAGTTAAAATAATTTTTCTTATGTTTACAGTATTATTGGTCTATATACTACATTTGTGTTATTGGCTTCTCGTTTACTTAAGTCATTTATGTCTGGACTAAATCGTCATATTATGTTTGAAGATCTTCCATATGTAGATAGAGTGCTACAACTATGTCTAGATATATATTTGGTAAATTATATATATTTTTTAAATATTATAAATAGTTTTTATTCGTTTTATTAGCGTAAACAATAATAAGATATGAAATAATATCTGTCTATTATAGTTGAATGGACTACTTCTTTGTTAAAATTCAACTAAACCCATAAAGCACGGTTATTACTTAGCGTAGTAACTAGATTAACAAAACAGAGATTTTTATAAAAATATTTTATTTTTATTTTGTTGTTTTTATAATCCCTAAATATGATAAAAATTCAACGACACCGTGCCGTCTTAGAAAACTGACTTTGGAAAACAGATCTAACGAGTTCTAAAATTTTAGTTTTTGTGACATTTCAAATAGTTACAAACATCCAAGTATGTCTCTAAATTGCAGACTTACCATTTATGTCGTTAACTGTTAACCTGTTATTGATTGATACACAAAAAAAGTAGTAACGTCTAAGTTCCACTAGTCAAAAAACTAGTGAAGTTCTAGTTTCAAAAAACTTATGTCAGTATTTAAATTTAACTTACTATCCTCTCATTTTAACATATTACTTAGACTTAACTTTTCTACTTATTTCATTATTTCAGCGATAATTCCTTAACCTCTTTATTTAGATCATTTTGTTTCTCTTTTTTTTTTTAATATTTTTTTTTTTTTAATATTTTTTCTTAATTTTTTTTTTTAATTTTTATTTTATCTAATTCTTGTAATGACAAAAATTTCTTAAATATTTTTGCAGGTACGAGAAGCTCATGAATTCGCGCTTGAAGAAGATTTATTTGCTAAACTGCTATTCTTGTATCGTTCGCCTGAGACGATGATCAAGTGGACACGTCCAAAAGAAGAAACAGCTGAGGACGAAACTGACACGGAGTCGATGCGCAGTCGGAGCAGTGCGCGCCGCCATGAAAATCCACAATAACTTAATTTTTTCCATAATTGAATCTAATTCTTTCATAAGTCTTTTCACTTTTATACTGTAAATGTTAAATTTTCTAGATTATTTTAATGGGTTAAGCTTAACGCTTAAGTATATATGATATATCTCAGTTTTTGCCGCAATTTATTCAATTATATTTTTTATACATTTTTTATTATTTTTGTTTTTTTTTTTTTCAATTTTATCGTTTGAAAAAAATTGCTTAAAGTACACATACACACACAAATAGGAACTGCCGAAATTTGTAGAATTATAAAATTGATTTTATTTTTATATTGAATTATAAATATTATTTATATATCCGAATCAATTTTAATTTAAAGAGAAATACTTCTTATTTATTTATATATATAAATAAAACCTAAACTACAGCATAATATTGAAGAAAATAACAATAGTAAAAAAAAATATTAAAAATTGTTTCTAACAAAAACGAAAAAAAAAATAAAGAAATTTTATATGTAATAATTTATTACAAATTGTTATGAAATAATATATAAAAAAATAATTATTAAATATAAGAAGCCATATTCAGGGATTTTTAGCATTTTATACCTACAATAAATAAATATTTATTTAAAATCTTAAATAGCTAAATAAATTGTTTCAAGAAAACTATATTACATAAGTCCAAACAAAAGATTTAAATTAATGATTTATGTGAACAATAAAATACAAGAAATAAATTAAAGTTTTGTAAAATATAAACAATAAGTAAAAAAAAAATATATTTCAAGCAATTTAGGTCATTTTAAAATAAAAAGCTTTACACTACAGAAAAGGTTCTTAAACGAAAGATTATACTTGCATTCTCACGATGTTCTTAAGTTTCAAGTAACATTCAAAAATCACACTAAAAATATACGAAATTCTATATGTAAAAATGTAAAAACATTATTTCATTAAATCCCTTCATTTTAGAATAATTACTTAAATAACATGAATTCCTTTTTCAATGATCTATATGATAGAGATATACAGAATTTCTTAAATGTTCTGTCTGATTCTTACTCAGACACAATAACATGAGCATGAGCGATTGGGATCTTCTCTTAAAATGCGATCTCTAAGCATAGATCAGATATAATACTGAATCGACTATACTTTTCTTGAACAGTCGTTCATATGCTTTGATGATGCATTATTAATAAATAAATAATTCAGGAGAACGAACTTGAAGTTCCCATTGGACTACGTGCCCGTTCAACCGTCTTTATAAAACCTGGAAGTATTGTAAGAACAATACAAACTCTTAGATTAATTTAATGTATTGAATTTATTCAGAATCCTGCAAAGAATGATAACTTTCGTAAGTTACGATATCGTATATCGTCACTAATGTGTGTAAATTTAATTTAATTCTATATTTAGTAGTATAAAATGAATTTCCACGACTTCGATGTTCCGCGCATGTCCATTTCGCAACGGACTTTAATAAGAACTACTACAAGTGTACGTACTAATCGCCACTAGATGGTATATGTAGCTTTTAATAGTATAATCAATATGAAAAGTTGATTCAAACCACGATATCTCAAGGCGTAAGCTATAACAGTATAAAACGTAGTGAAGTAGTGCTATAACTTGCTTATCAGCGTGTCCGGATATTCGTATTCGTGCCAAGGTTTTAATAATTTAAAATTGATTTTAAAATCAATTTTCATATTAAAACCAACAACCTACAGTAGTAATATCATTAAACTTAAAATTATTTATTTGAGTTGGATTTATGTTAATATTTTGAATATATACTGAAGTTGATATTATTAATAATTAAGTTATTAACCTGCTTTGCTGTTATAATGTTTTGCAATGTACTTTTTGGATATTTTGTGCTAATTTAGTTGTCATCAAAAGTAAAATAGAATACTTGTGTAGCTAATATACATATAGGCTCTACCTCCAGAAAATGTTATATACTTTTTAAACATGCCTTACTCTGTATATTCTCCGATACCACACTATATAATGGGTAGCAAAATGAAACCGTTCGAAATATTTTACTTTTATAAGCAACAAAGTCAGCAACTAGTAGATAAATTAATAATATTTTTAAATATTTGTATAAAAAATTCACTTTCCATGTATGAACATTATTTATCAATCATTTATTGTGCTAAAAGTGTTGTTTCAATAATATTATCTATAACATCTATATGCTTTAAAAATTATTTAATTTTTACTTAAATTTCAATTTTGATATAAATAATTTTCTCATATCAAAAAAAAATTGTACCGATAATGCCTGGTGAATGTAGTAGTAATATATTATTTAATTTTAAACAGTTTTTTATTTTTCACAACATTATAAATATAATTCACAATATATATATTTTACTTTCATCCAATAAAATTTGTTTCCTCTTATTTTAAAATTAATGTTAATTGTTTAAAATATTACAACACTACAGAACCATAAGATAATCTAATTATTACATTTTTTAATTATAAAATAATAGATAACTATAGATAACAATAATTATTTAATTTAAAATAGATTATAAATACCTAGTTATGCATATGTATAATTTAATTAATATTAGTTTTGAAATACAGCGACTTCTCATATAGTTTTAAAAAATATTTCTTTCAAAATTTTCCTTTTAGCTGAGCTGTTGCCAATTTCTATAAATTTATAAATAAATTATAAAGAAAAATAAATTAATAAAAAAATGAATTAAATGATTATCTTAATGAAGCTGGCATTATCAAGTAGTACCGGAAAAAAACAATTATTTTTTATCTTGCAAAATGTCTGTATATTTTAATTTAAAACTATTTGTTTTAAACTTTATATTAATATAAAATAATGAAATTTATGAAATCCCTCTATTTCGCTTAGATCGTATTAGCTAGCAACGACCGTTATAAATGATAAATGATAAATGATAAACGATTATTAAATTAATAAAAATGTATCCTTTTTTATATACGCGTTTGCCTTAAATAACATATTTAAAATTGTTTAATTCGTTATAAATAATTGAAATCTTATATAAAAATCGTTATAAATAAATATTTATTATATTGATTTATTAATAGAAATAAGTATTAAATTTTGCTAATTTTTGCAGGATTGTTATTACTTTTACAACAAATCATGTTCATATCAAAATATTTTTTAACTTCATTACTGTATAAAAATATTATATATATATATAAATATGTATATATATATATATATATATATATATGTTTGCATAAATAAAAAACAATAACTAATTTTTTTTAATAAATTATTAATATAACAAGTTTTTACAATATTTAAATGTATGAGAAATAAAATTTGTATATTTGAAAATATATATTTAGTTTTTTATTTGATAAAATTATTAATTATTTCTAAATATATAATTTATAACAAAAAATTTATAATATAATTAAAACGAAATTATAGTAAAATTTAATTATTTTTGGCATCGTTTCTTAGTTCTGCTGTGAATATGATTTTACAAACATTTCTTATGGAACGATGTATATATATATATATATATATAGCTTTACTATACCTTGTAAGTTATTAAGTATTGATACCGCGAAGACTTGCTTAAAATAGCTGGCGCTATTAAAATCTGGGTCAAATCAGCATGCCTGGAAAATCGGGTGTGTACAAAAAAGGGGAAAATTTAAGCTTCATACTATAAATCCTAGGAAATCCATTATTATTTAGAAACGCAATAATAACATTGCCAGCAAACCCATATGTGGAATCCCAGTGGTAATTGGTGGAAATTAATACAATATGAAGAGTTATAAACTGAATTTTAATATCTATGAGGGAAGATAAGAAAATTGAATTGGTCAATATTCGTATTTATTACGGCGCCATAAATAAAATGTGACCGAATTGGAATATTTTTTAAAGGTTTAATAGAAAAAATAAAATACGTTGTGTGAAATAAAATTGCAATTACAGTACACATTCAGAGTTCTTGAGGTGTAGGGTAAGGCCACACAATCTAACCCATGTCAAAATAGTTTTCGCTGTGATAAGTATTTATATATTTTATTCAAAATTTAAAGTGGTAGTCCTTCAAGTACATTCTCGAATCCCATTACATCCGAATAGTTCCACCATTCACACGACTATACCTTACTTTTTTTTCTGGTTTTTGCTTTACATGGCCTTTTCGGGATAAGGAACACAAAGCTGCGATACTTGTGCATACTTATAGAGGTCCGAATATTTTTCTCTGAGGCACACCTAGTGCTTTACAATACCAGATTTTGTTACTAGAGATGGAACTTTACAGCTTAGTTGCCTGCTGACAGCGTTCTCACAATGATAATTATTCGTTAGAAATCTTGGCTGAGATTATTGTTATTGTTTATGTGGCTCAACAGGTTTTTTCAGTAAAAATTGAACTGGACATCTGTTGATATCGTTTTGAGAAAGGTATATTTATTCGTTCTATTTTGTCAGCAGAAAAATTACTTGAGAGTTTCAAAAATAGAATTGCAAATAGCAGAACACTATATTCAAGATGCATATTTCTACTAGTAGTTGGCATAAATCTTAGTGAAGTTCTGACATATTCTTATCTGAATTCAAATTAATACTTTATTACTTTATAAATGGTCTTCTTAGTTAAGAAATCCGCAAAGAAGTTTCAATTGTAAATTAAGATAAAGTTGCATTGATAAATCAAAAGAGTGAATCTTCTCTTAAAACATAGTCACGATTCTTATTATCTTAAGCGAACCTCAAGTGAAAAAAATGAAAAAATCATATTAAGGTTAAAATATTAGCCATACCAAAAATTTATAAACATTTATAAACTATTGTAAACATATAACTTTTAATTTTTTGTTATTTCTTCATAAAACTATTATATGGATAATTAGAGTTCAATAAACTGAGGAGTGACTCATCAGATTTAGAGAGCTTTGAACAAACGCAGGGTATGCGATGTTGGGAACCTGCTGCCGGAGCACTGCGAGCACGTCGAAATGTACTGCTTACCGACATACGAGATACTGAACGGGAACGCAACATAGGCATAACTACTTCAAGTTTCGGTATTATATGTTCGAATTCCTGAACCATAAAATCAACATGACAGTCACAAGTGCGGGTTTGTAGATTCCACTTATGCATAAAACTTGGAGTAACGACAATTGAGTCCGAACAACAAGAGTCTGAAGTATGTGTCTCAACCACACTTTCGTTATCTGAAAATGTGCTATCTGAGTTCGTGTCAATTGAAGTTGTTGATATGTTTAATGTTGACACTGTGCTCGTTGGCGTTTCGCCTGAAGAATCAGCAAATAACATTTTGTCGGGCATTTGAGTTCCTGCGTACTCGTTAGAGTCCATATTGGCTTCGCTCGTACTAAGTTCACTTGAGCTAGAAACATCTGATATGATATTGGAAAAATATAATTCTGTTCTGCGAACGGTTGCTATTGGTATAGGTAACCCAAAGTAAACATAATCATTAATATTAACGTTTTCATTAGAGCCCATATTTAGTAATAATTCAGCTGAATTCAAATTATCATAGGCACGTCTACGAAAGTTGACGTCAGCAACCCCATAGCCCTCAGTTCTAATAATATCTGTAGCGAATATTTCTGTCTTTGGTAGATTAATACTACTATTTTCAATGCATTCTTCAGAATGAGTGTTCTGAATGAGTGTTAACGATTTGGAACTTTTGGTGATTTCTTTGTGGTCATTTGTCTCGCCGCCATCTAGCCTATGGTCTTCTACTAGTTGCTTACTTGTTTTACATTTTAAATTTTCTTTCACAATTGAATCTGGTGGTATATCACATTTACCGAGCAGTCCAATAGTGGACCTACGTGCCATCATCTCTTGTCCATTTGATTCATTTTCACTATTCTCCTCGGAAGTGTTCGGGTAAACAAGAGCTGTGTGAGAACTTTGATTTCCATTATCCGATTGCATGACATTTTGAACATTGTCATGAATTCCATGAATATTATGTATACCTTTAAAACTCATTGCATCTAGTGGCTCAGCGATATCTTTGCGCATTTTATCAACGGCTTTTTTTAACAACCTGGTGGCTTCCATAACTCGATTGCGACGTCTCTGATATAGCATGGTTACTTTTGCCAGCAAATAAATCGTATATAAGAACACCGACAGATAAACAATCCAGAATATCAATTTGAATTTATCGAAACCAATCTTGTCTTCAACCAACGGTTTTTTGTCGAAACGAGGTTCACTAAAGTATCCCCATAACTGGTTCAACTTCATAACAAGAAAAACAAGTAAGCGGCCAAACATTTTCTGATTAAATTTTGCTTATTTTAAATGGAAAACTGGTGAAAGGAATACAAACTTTCTAGAAAAAATGTTTTTATTTAAGGTATATATTTTTTTTAACATTTTTTTGACAGTTAAAAATTATAAAAAGCATAGCTTGGTTTGTTCGTTAATCGATGAGCTTTTACGCGGAAAGAACACCGTAACAGAATTAGAAGAGTGTGAAGCATTTCGTTTCTGGATAAGGACTTAAATGACTGTGGTAAGTACATCGTTTTAACGGTGGCAACTCTTCCCCATAAACACCATTGTTGCTTAAACTAACATATATTAAGGAAAATACACATTATACATTTTACTGGGTTATGCAAAGTTGTATTTAGTGGTGCTGGGGGTTCGTACCACACCTAGTGACATCATCTCAGAGTGGTGGCATCTAAGAGATCACACAGTAACAGTGGGAAAATTAAAATAATATAAGTGTTCCTTGGATTTTACTCATAAGTTGAAGAAGTAATAAACTTATGATAATGTGCAGAACTCAAGATGATGATAATACTACTATAATGTCTGGAATTTTGTGGATTTTCAGGCCATACCTAAAAGAAAGAAAAACACGCGTTTGCTAAGATTATTTCACATCTAAAATGTTTTACCGCTCTGAATAGAAAATGTATAGTGTAAGCTAATGGATGGGATGAGTGTTCATAAAAAAAGTTGCAAGTCTTTGAAAAGGTATATATAAGTAGTTAAATATGATGATAGATGTTTATGGCTACAATTTGAGCTCTATGTGATCGCAAACACAATTCAAGACACAAGTAATATTGGATATGATATTTTACATATTGTCTGCGATTTCATGTATATTTGCTACCTTTATCCTTGTGTGAATCTGCATAAGAAAGTTCATATTATATAGCAGTTATTGTCGACTGAGTGCTTAACATTTAATAAAATTGTGGCTTAGTTAGAGACCTTATGACCTTATGATTATTTCTGTCAAGGAAGCATAGTCACTGCTCAAAGCATGTGATTGAAAAACAGTTTTAAAAAGGAAACCAGTATGGAACTTTGGTTGAGAAAAGGTCAACAATCAAAAATTAAATAGCTAACGAATAATAAAACATTCTGGGCTCTGTTAGTAATAGAAAACCCGCAGGCAGATCTGGAATATATAATGAAGCATTATTTCCAATCCTGCATGTGAAAGTCAAGGTTTAGGACTTGGATCTACTATTTGACAACGTATTGAATCTTGTTTTGGCTTTAATATTGTTAAGTAACCGCAGCCATTAATTATATTACTGTGTAAAAGTTATTTTATGCTATATTATTCTATTCTTGTCAGTCTTATTTTTTCAATAAATTTTATAAGAATAATTTTTTTTAAGAATAACAATCAATATGTTTTTCTTTGCAACAAAGTCGATCAGCTTTAGACTGTTGTTCAAGGAGACTAAATTTTCCAACTATTGGACTTCAAACTCTTTCTCTTCAGATGTAATGGAAGTCATCATATCGTTTAATCGTATAGCCATTTCCTTGCATTGGTTCTTTCACGAAAATTACTATCTGTTTACTACTGTGATCTATATTAAATTCAAATTCTATTCATTGAGTCACTTTCACATAAAACTTCTATCATTTGGGTCTAGGCATTCAAGATAACGATTTTCTTTAACTCCTAATGCAGCATAGGGCCTCCAGAAAACATATCCAGCTCGTCTTATTGTTTGCTAATCGCTTGACTTCATTACACGATTTGTCAGATTGCTGTGTTTCTTTTTTGGGATTTCCTGCAGTCTTGAGGGTCCCAATCCTATGCTTTTCAACATATGTTTTTATAGTTTTTGCGCAAAATATGACCGATCTTGAGTATAAATCGTTATATGAAATTGTGCTGCGCTACTTAATCTCGGAAAAAACATAAAAAACTAAAATAATCTTTTCTACTTTTAGGCAGGATATTATATTCTATCAGTCACTATGACGGTATTTCAAATTTCAACTATTGTAGATTGTAATCTCTACCATTAATAATAGTTAGACAGTTAAAACGTTAGTTAGGTTAAAGGTATTTTTAGTAGGTTGTCACCATTATGTAAGGCAACTTCAAGACATAGCCTTTACAACGTGTTTGCTTTACAATAGCTCATGTTTCTAGATGTCTTAATCTTTGGAAGAAAAGATCTAAATAATTTAAAAATACTTTCATATCGGTATGAAAACTTCATATTAAGTTTAATACTTTTGTAGCTTTCAAGAGTTTTAATAAGTTACAGAACTCATTGTACACTTTGCGTACTCTTAAATGATTAGATGTCAACTGGATTTGGTCATTCGCACAGACCCTAACTAATAATGGCTGTAGGAGAAAGCTTAATTTGCTAAGTTATGTTAGCAATTTTTGATAAGTTTCCCATTCCATTTTCAACTTCGGATAAAATTTGAGAACCTTTTCGAAATTTAATTAACACTTATTTATTTTCAAATATATTACTTTTAATGGTATAAGTACATTAATTGACTATTCTACTTAATTACAACAATATATAAATATGTATAAAATATTATATTAAATTTTCCTGCTAATACGAAGGAGTAACACATTCAGAAATCTTAAATCATTAAATTTGTCTTTTTCTTTTCTTTAGAGTCTATGTTAATCTTGTCGAACAATTGCGGTAAAATACAAACTTTTTATTGACTTCATTGGTAGGGCTTAGTTCGTCACTATTAACACGGCTAAATTTCACTACCGGATACACTTCTTCCCATTCAGATGGAGTACGGCTTAGCACACCTCTGGGTCTAGTAGACGTTTCATGATGTATAGAATGAGTTGCAGTGCTGCCAATTTGATGCACAACTGGCAATGGATTATTTAGCATTTGTGTAACACTTCTTGACAATAATATAGGTTGTATGCGATTATAACCACTGCCAGTTGGCTTATATCTTTCGAATTTCAAGGAGAGACGCTCCATTTCACCTGTCATCCATTTATGCATCGACTTTGAACGCATTTCTGCTCCGTACTCCGTACTCCGTATTGGTATTGATTATATTTCAAATTTAGATTCTTGTAAATAAAATTCTTTGTTTGTCTAAATTATCCGACGCGCTCGCTTGACTACGGTGAACTAAGTTTTTCCATATACAATACATGGACTTTTATACTTCACCACCTTTGTGCGCCGTTAAACATTGTCGGGGTTCCATTTCACCTCATGCCTTCCCTGTGCACAACCCCACCGACTGTGTTGAATTTTATAATGGACCTAGTGCTATAAATAAAATTACCCGTAATCAATTTTATGTCATTAAAAGTAAACTTACTGAAAAGTCTAAAGCAATTAACGACGTTCAAAGAGCGGAAGAGGGGAAAAAATTTATACACTGTTGGAATAGGTAAGACGACATTAAAGATAAAAGTATTGATTTATCTTGAACTCTTTAAATGTACTTAGGAGCATGTAACAGGTTTACATCAACCAAATAGATCTGTATGGTATTACCACAGTTGTGCAATGTTTTAATGGGGTTACGCAGCCGAAAATAATACAGAGGGTAAAAACAATTACGTTGTATAAAAATTTCAAATCACTACTTTATCTATTTATCCAATAAGGGAAATATATCAATTAAAATAACATCAAATAATTACAGTTATCGAATATAATTATTAGATCCTATATTTATAATCCCATATTTACCTATTATAAAATACAATATTATTATTTAATTTCTCTTTCTGAGCTTGGGAGTTCACAGAAACGTTACACCGTTTTTTTCTGAAAACACATTCTCAATTTTATACTCTTTCTCTCACTTTCCCTAGTTCAAGCCGGATTTCGGCGATGGATGGCAATTATAAGTGTAACATGTCTCCAATACACGAGACTTTAGACCAGGTCACAGCATAAATTAATAGAGTACATTTTTCAACGATCTACTATCAAAAAAATAGAGAACATAACAAATCAGTATACTCTCATAGCTCTCTTACATTCGTGTGAGAGCATGTTAACTAGACCTACATGATAATTTCATTTCTCCTAATGTAAGTAACCCCAATGCAATCGGATCCGAAAATGACCATAAATAAAATTCGTTATTGTTTTCCCTTTTGTTTTTATTTTTGTTTTTATTTTGTTTATTCGAATTCTGCATTGCCAGCATGGCTGAGACATTCTATCGAAGTTCTTGTACTACTTTGAGTGCCTAGGGTCAGCGTGTTCAGCAAAAAGTCTTATCATCATCAATTACCACTTTGACGCGTAAGGTCATATATGTTTGCGTCGTATGCGTTTTTCCAAATAAACAACTTAAGCCTTTATCGACCATTTCGGTAGACAATAGACTGATGGGTCTCACATACACTTTATCAGGGTTACTCAATAGTATTGCATCAGTTTTGCGTAAGGTTCATGGGTAGCAATTGGGCCAATTCGTGTGCAATGTCTACATATTTTCGCTTTTCCATCCGCCACCTTCTATTATTATATTATTTTTTTATTTAAGTCCATCGATTTTGTAGATAACAATTTATTTTTATTTTCTCTTTTACGGCCTTCAGCAATAGCATAAAACGCAAAAACAATATTAGATAATATTGGGTCATTGCAGTTGCGGTCGATGTAATAATGTAAATCTGGAGAATAATGAATAGATATTTAAACTATTTAGAGAGCAGTTTTTAATAGTAATATTATCGTAGTTAGTATAATTACATTAATTCTTTTAGTTTACAAACTGAGGAATTAACAACCTAGCAAATCTGCTGTTGTTGCCAATTCAAAGTCAGTTACCTAGAACATTACTTTTTTTTTTGTAAAATGGTATCCATGCTTAACTTATTCAAGATTCTAAGAGAAGTTTCGGCATTTCATTCCAATTAACTAATAAGTCTAGATAGTAAATCGATTATTACCGAATTTAAAGATCATATAAGACTTTCCTGCTATGTACTCGTAATGCCGTTTCCGATTGATGAATCTAGGGTAAGTTTTTCAATTGAGATTCACTTTTAATGCAATCGGTAATGTTTCAACTTCATGATATTATATGAATATTTGATATAGTTTGGTCATTTGATGATTTTATATGAAATGGAAAAATTTGAATATCGTTCAGTAATAAACTATATAATAAAATATATATAATAAAATAATAAAATGCTTATATTTCAAAATTAAAGATGCGTTCGAAAAGTTTTGCTAATTAAATAATAACCAAGCTTTATAGTTTTCTTTCTTCTTTTCTAAATTTGGACATATTGGACATTTCCACTATACTCGAAATATTATTTTTATCACTGTTTCAACTTCTTCAACTCCACTTTTTTAATCTGTTTTTTATTTCTGTTTGCAAAAAAGTTATATAATAAACTATAATAACATTTCAGTGGAAATATTCCCTAAAAATTTTAAAAACTCTTCATTCTCTTCCGAATCGCGCCAACATTTATTTCTCTATATACGATTCAGAAACAACAAGTATATTATATCTATTGAGACGGCATATTATCTTTCTAGAATCTTTAGAAATGGAATCCTTATGTATTTATTATTTGTGAAAAGAATTTTCTTTAAACTATTTAGAAAAAAAATTTCCGTTAAATATTAATTTTTTCTGCTTCTTGAATAAAACGCAAGTTTTCTGTCAACTGTCCAATTTGGAAATTTTTATTCTAAGTCATATATCAGATTTAGTCCATTGTTAATTTATATAGTAAAATTTTGAATTTTGAATTTTGAATTTCGAATTTTGAATTTTGAATTTCGAATTTTAAATTTTGAATTTCGAGTTTTGAATTTTAAATTTTGATTAATTTATGTCCTAAACATTATAAATCCAATAAGTAGTTAATGCTGCCAAAAAAGTAAATGGTTGCCAAAATCTAATCAAAAAATTTGGTGGAGGTATATCCACAATAGGCTGTGCCACCTCCGGCATCCGTATGTCACTGTCGGTATCCTGTACGATTTATTAAAAACAAAATATTGTATTTAAAAACATTAAAAAAATTTTTTTTTCTAACTTACGCTTGGTATTCGAACACGGGCACGAACCCGCTTATGCTTATTCATTCCTTTTCGCTTACCTCCTTTACGTACCGGAGGTGCACGGCGCTTAACAATACGGCGGCGAGTCCCCTTCCGCTTTCCTCGACGCTTTGGCGGTTTTCTTGGTCGTTTGCTTTTACCTGTAGACGCCACCTTATTTGCTCGGCCACGAACAGCACCGCGACGAGCACCGCGACGGGCACCGGGACGTTTTATTGCTTTACGCACTGCGCGTGCCGCGCGCTTGTGCTGTCCGCGACCGACTTTTGCACGTTTTTGTGGCTGCTTGACGCCGCCAAATTCCGCCTTTCCGATAATTGCCAATTTTTCCTGTGTCGGTGTTAGGACCGCCGATTTAACTTTCTTTGCGCCTGAAGAAGAATGAAAGCGTTATTTCTGTTTGCGTGTCTTAAGAAACATTCAACTCACCTCTAGTCATGTTTACGCACAAGTTTAAAATACAAAATATATTGTTAAGATGTAAAACTATCTCTGGCGTAAAAAATATAAGCAAATTAAACTTTCAAAATCTATAACAAAATATAAGAGAGTTTTTGAAACTAACTCCAGAAAAAAAAAATTTATAATGAAAACAGTTTAAATAACATTCCATTTACAATTCATAAACAGAGAATTATGATTATTGAAACATGTGACAATGCTAACGTGATAATGATATATCATATATATCACCTATAGATTTAGGTGATGCCACTTATCGACTTGTCTAATAGCCATTTTAGGAAGTAGTTGTGGTTGTTTCATGAACTTTGGTCTCTCCGGTTGGTCTTATCTGCTACAGAATGTGTCTACTAAGTTTTGAAAGCTATATTACATCCAACTATGTCCAACTATACTCATGTTTAAACTGTCTATACTTTATGTATAGCCTACCTAGTATTTTAAAATATATTTTATTCCATGGTACCAACATTTTACTCGCTATATAAGTCAGTATCATTATACTGTCTTTGCGATTGCTGAAATTCTGACGGAAGTGCTAACCGGCATTTGTTCTTCAAGATGAGGGGCTGCAGATATGGACTACTGCCTTTGGAAACCAATTAAAAATGTGCTTGCACCGTTTCGGTCCATTCGAATAAAATAGATTGAGCTTAATTTCTATTCACTGTGTCATAACGAAAGGGTATACAATGCTAAAGTAGGGAATGAACTTATGGCCTCTTTTATAAGTTGCTAGTGCTTAACATGAAAAAAAATCGGAAATACGAACCAGTTTTTTCGCGGCGCACAGTGCGGCCGATTGCCGAAAAGCTGGCCAAAAATCAAGAAGTGAGGAAAATGATCTTAAAATTTCTGTTTTATAGCTTTTGGAGTCGCTAATTAAGAATTTTGAATCAGACTTAATATTCTCGAAATGGTTTACGCAATTCCACTACATATGGTATATACATATGTATATATGTATATTAATTGAATCATATTGAATCATATTGAATCATATTGAATCATATTGAATCATAATAATAAATAATTAAATTAATAAATAAATTAAATTAAGCTAGCTAGCTTTACGGCAATCGGCTGCACTGTGCAACATGTCGATTGAGGGAAAATATGTTCAAAGCAAAATGTTGCTGCGACTTAAGCAAATAGCAACAAAATACTTAACACAATTGTCGCTTAACGCTTTAGCAACAAAGCAATAGCAATTCGCTTCTATGGGAAGAGAACAACAACAAAACTACTTGCGCCCAAGTAAAGTATCGAAGAAGAAGCATGTGCAAGCAACATTTGCTTCGTGTGTCAACAGACGTACATTCAGTCAAGACGCAATTTTGTTGTTATTTTTTCTTTGGTGTTTCTTGTTTGGCTAATGCAGCGTGAGTTTAAAGCGATATTGTGAGGGTCACGCACACAAACATAGCCCTTGCTTTGTGTATGTCCATATGTTTGAAATTGCTTATACGTATAAGTAAGTACGTTATTATGTATGCAGTGTATGTGTGTGATATCAAGCAGTGTAATGAATCGGTTTTGTTGGTATTTTTTGTGCATTCTCGTATTCGTCATATTATTTACTTCACCTTTTCGCTTATAATTCTCATGGAGTTGAAACTTTTTT